TGCTGACTGCTACGTCCAGTTTCGTCAGTTTTTGTAGAGACGTCCTGTTTACTGCACAGATATAATCAGGTGTTCAGTTAATTTTACTTCATGTGAATAAGAAATAAAAGATTTTACCGCCTCATATTTTTGTTATTTATAATTTAAACTGCACAGTCCTACAATGTTTGGTACCAATGTATTGATGAGACTTTCTGTGAAGGTGACAGTAAAGTATTCGTTCAGCCTACTTTCTGTTCTTGTTTACAGTATTACATTAGTTTTACTGTTTGTTGCAGCAGCAGCGGAGCATGGTCTTTCTTCTGGTTTCTTCCCGACAAAATGATGACATTAAAAAAAAAAGAGCTTGGGCTTTTCACACCATCTTTAGTTTTTTTCAGTTGTGAAAATGTGTACGTTTTTAGTCTCTGATCTGTTTTGTTCTCTCTCTCTGTATTTTCAATTTAACCCTTTTATAAAATCAGATTAGAGTAAAGAAATAATGGTTGATACAGTGTTGACGTTGTTAAAAAACTTCCAGTGTGAGATGGCCTCAAAGGTTAAATTCAGTATTTGTTAACTGTCAAATTGAATAATCTTAGGCACTTTTATTTTTGTATAATTGTAACTTTGATCAGTCAGTGTTTTGGCCACAAGATATCAATTCCTTTTTGTGTGAAGGTGAGCATAAAGAGTTCTTATAGCCCAGTGTTGACTACTGTATTACAGCATTGTTACTGTTTGTTGCAGCAGCAGTGGCAGAGCTTGTTTATGGACCTTGAAGTCCACTCAGAGGGAAAAAAAGCAACAAGACTGTTTTGAATGAAAAGAAAAAACCTTGGAGCGCAGCCTTGTAAATTAATTTGTTCGTGTTGTATGATGGGAACACAGCTGGCCTCATTAACATGCGAACAACAAATAATTATAGCCTTTTTTCTCTCTCTTCAGCCAGCCAATGCTTGGCTAATGGGCTTGCTGGGTTAATTATGTCAGAGCGTAATTACACAGGGCCCAGGGAGACATAATGGCGCACCCTGCTGCGCCCACACCGCCTAATGATGGTGTATCGCTGACAGGGCCAAGACGGACCGCCCCGACACACCTGCTTGTCTTGGCGCACACTTACGTCGGTCCACCCCCACCTAGCTAAACACACAGACACATCCGAGACCACTGATGCTGCAGCGTCCTCCCCAGTGCCTCCACCCCCCCCTTCTCCGTCCTTACCCTCCTGAGCTGTCCTGCTTCTGTCTGCCTCACCCTCACTTCTCAAGTCTCACCCAGACGGTTTCCCTGATATTACAGAGAAACAGCCAACGCAGTGACCACCAGGAGGCAGCTACAGGGTGGCAGCCTCATTATCTCACATTCAAAGTGATGACACTCAGTATAAGTGCAGCTGGGACTCTGCAAAACAATTAAAAGTCAGGCTCAACTTTTATTAGCTATTAGCAAGTTAGAGTTCATCACAGGTCAGCGCTGGCTTTTGCACTACCCAACACTTAACACTTTTTTCTATATGCAAATTATAACTGACAGACTAGATTTGGGGGATTTGATTTTACTGATACCATCATGTTGTAGAATTTTTGTTGATTGTTGATTGTCTGATTAACCAAAAATTAATTTCAATTTCATGGTCTTTAATATATTTTCATGCCTTTTACTGTATATGTATAGTTTTGTTCACACCTACATTTTTCTCATTTAATGCTTCAATCGAACTGTTCACCTTTGGCTTCTAACTTATGGTGTGATATATCTTCGACTAATCTAGACCAAATATCATTAAAAAATCATATGACAATTAAAAGTAAGACAAATAATAATAATAATAATAATAATAATAATAATAATAATAATAATAATAATAATAATAATAATCCATCCATTTTCATCCGCTTATCCGTTACCGGGTTGCGTAGGCAGCAGTCTCCACCCAAATCACACTGCACCGTACCTAAACCTTGGTGGTGAGTCCACTGGAAGGAACCAACCGCCCTAACCGGGATTCGAACTTGCCCAGGAGGCGAACCCTGGGGTTCCACACCAATGACAGAGACATTGCCTTTCTATATATATATCTATAATAATAATAGCAAATGCAAAATATCTTATGTTCAAATATTAATTACTAGTTCCTCAGAAAAGTTAGCTAAAATGTTAGCCACAAAACTAAACTAACAGCTAAACTAAAATAGCAAGGTTAGCCTCAAAGCTAATTAGCCAAGAGATACCTACATGATGGGCCGTTTGCAGATAAATTATGTATATGAACATTTTAACCAAACTATTAATTGTTTCTATTAGTCTATAAATGTTTTTTTTAATGAATGATTGTTTAATTAATTCAGCTGAAAAAAAATTTTTTTTTTCAAATGAACCAAATGTAGGCTAATGTTTAGCTCAAGAATGTCTAAAGTCGGACTATTGGCACAAGTAGCTATTTTCTGGATGTAAATGTGACCAGGGGAAATTATTAATTAATTGTCCTGTGATTTATTAGCATAAAGAGCTGCTGTTGCCCAATCAGTTATCATGACCTCAGAGCAGACATCCAATCAACCATAAATGAGATAAGGGATGAATTAAAATGTGAAGAGTTGATTCGAAGCAGGAGCGATGTGACTCATGCTCCGTGCACGTACAGTGCTGCCTCGTCAGCTCACCTCATCTCTGCTTTCTTGATAACAAGACTGTGAGTGCTCAGGGTTAAAGGTTAATTCCTCGTCCATTCCAGATTCTTCTGTGCTGGATCTGCTGTTCCTTCTACGTGTTGGAAAAGAGAAAAGAAGAAGTGCACCATATTATCACATCAATTAGAAGCTGTGTTTTCTAAAGTTCTCAGCAGTCTCTGCCTCAGTGAGAGCGGATCCTCGGCCCTGGGAGAGCGTCCCCGCTGCTCCACTTTGATGGGGGTTAATTTTGCATCCAGTCCTAACTTATATCCCTTCACTTTAAATTTGACTTTCTTTTACTCCCCTGTCTCTGATTGATAATCCCGGCTTGTCCATGTGTGAGAGATCCCTTACTATAATCTCCCTACTTTGATCATTAAAAGTTGGAAGGATATATGGGAAAGAGGCTGATAAAGTGATTTCTGTGACAGTGGGTCGATGAAATAGCACTGCTTTAAGTCATCCTGTTTGTCTTAGAAGAGCTGTGCTCTTAATAGTGATGTCCCTCGTGACTGATGCAATATCTCCACACTTGGTGTAACAACCGTCCGGGCTGCGACTGTAAACGGGGCCTGGGAAAAATAGCTCAATCCATTAAATGGCCCAAAATGTTTTGTCTGATGAAAATGCAGATATGGCGAGTGAGTGCGCAACGTCGGCTCAGGATTACAGCAAATTGCACTTTGCAGAAGTTTTGAATCCAGTGGTTATTGTGAGGGAGAAGTCAATTTCTCAAAAAGGATGTTGTACTTTGTAAAAATGCAAAACGCAATAAACTAGAGTCTATATTTGTTAGAATTAAGAACACTGTAACATCCTTCACTCTTTTTGCTAATTAAGAAACTTATAAGAAATGTATTGCAACAAACTGAGATGTAATTGTAGGAGAGACGTGAGCAGTGTCACCTTCCTTCTTGCTTTAATTCTTTCACTTTGTTACCATTTTTGAACTAAGGAAACTGTTGTTAAAGTTATAGGTGAACTTTTTCCGCAGTAATAAAGCCTCGAGCTGCTGTGTCTGGTCGCTGTGGACTGATTTTCCCTTCATTTGTAGTCACATATTTTTATTTTTTATTGGTTTTTAATTTATTAGTAGGCAGGCCAGCACACATGCAAGGTCACACATTATGTTATGACATTGAGTTTGTGTGAAAAGTCACTGTCTTGACTTGAGGATGTGTTTTTATTATATTTTTCTGTGTATCTACTTTTATGGCGCCGACGCTCCCTCGGCCCATCTCATCCGACTTTACATTCTACTGGTGAAAGTTTTAACATCTGTGGTTCCAACTTCTTATAAAAAGCCACTTCAGTCAGTTGGTGCCTGCACTGAGGAAAGATCCAATTGGGTTCTAGACAAACACACACACACACACACACAAGTACAAGTCTTAAGATGAGTGGATGAAAGCTGCGGGAGAAAAGTTTGTGCAGCAAAGCAGCGATTTTCCTCCTCTTTTTGAGTTTGAATAGCTGTGTGTGTGTGTGTGTATGTGTATGCATATATATGTGTGGCTCTACATCTTACCTCCCTCCTCCTTGTCAAGGAGCTCCCCTGAGCCTCCCTCTCTGTGCTTTGGCACTAGAAGTCACCTCCTTTGGTGTTGAGCAGGCAGGTACACAACAGGAGCAGCTCTCTCTCTCTGAGCTGTTGAACTCTTCGGGAGGGGAAGAAAGGGAAGGGGAAGATTAAAAACAGCCCTGTGATGTGGAGTGCCGAGCCGCCTCCCGAGGATTCCTGGCATAATAATTTAAATGATCAAATGATACAGAGGAGACTTGTTAGCTGAGAAACAGCCTCCTAGTTGGCCCCATGGGCCCCGGTGCTGCCGCGCATGCATTGCAAAACAGCTCCTCTGTTGTGTTAAAGAATCCTGACTTTCTTCTTTTTTGCTCTCTTTTTTTCGTGAGAAGACTTTTTCTACTCTTTGCCTAGGTGTGTATACTTGGGAGTTGAGAATGCCTCACATGCTGGTTGCGGTCTTTTTCTCTTTCTTCGCATTCATCAGCACGTTAGCAGACTCATTAGATGTGATTTCTGTACATGTGAGGGGTCGCAACAGCACTTGTGTCAGTGGGTCCAGCCTGTGAACATTTCAAAGACACATCATTTGGGAAAAAGAAGTCTTAGAGTCACTCTTTGGAAACAAGTCTCGGTGGAATACAATCGTCTGCCTGTGTTGAAACTGCGGTGCAGAAAAGCTCTGTAAAGTGCTTCACAGGCAGCACACACACAGTCAAACAGCCATTTAGCTTTTTAAAAGTGTCTGGATGTCGTGCGGATCGCAGTAGTTTTTCTTTCTCTTTAGAGATTTGTTTGTCTTGTGTTTTTATTTTATACAGACCCAGCTCCTGTGCTGGAGGCCTCCCACACCCTGGAGGAAAGGCTGCAGCATCTTCACAGTTCAGCCCCAGAAGGTGAGGCCCTGGTACGAGAGATCAGCAGGCACTGGAAGAAACACCTGGAGTGCCTTGAAAAGACAGGTCAGGCTGACACTGTGCACCGTGGACACACACCCCACTGAAGTGCTCATGTTATTTTAATGCAGTGCTACTGGTGGTTCCTAAACCAGAGGAGCACTGGTTCCACCTTTAGGACTCTGACACTCGAACCAGGTGACTGGATTGAACTGCTTCTGTGATTCAAACCCTGAGGACCTGACTCTGACTTAGAACAATCTTGAGATTTCTTTTTCTTTTCTTGTTAACTTTCACTCACATTTCAAAACCAGAGACTGCAAATGTTTTTTTCTCATCAACTTGGACTTAAAAGACCAGACTCCATTTAAACTTCTTCTCAACAACTACGCTGGGACTAGACCATGAATGTCATTGATAATTTGAAGATTTTGCTACGATGTGAGTGAAACCTTTGGACTTGAGTAAGCTGAACTGGAACTTTTCTCTAGTGTCCTGGCATTTAACCCTGGGGGATAAATAAACCTTCGTCTCTGACTTGGACTCATTCGTGAAAAGCTGGGAACTTAACACTGCGTTCTAGTGTTCACGTACTATAATCCATGACTATAGTCACGTCCATGTACTAAAATTACATTTAGGAAAGGAAAGGTTGATCTTAAAGACTTGACGTGTCACAGCATGACTCAGAATCAGTTTGACCCTCTGCTGTCAATCATGTGGTCTTCAGTCCTGCTGTGTGATCTGGAGGAAGAGTTCTGTTGGACACCTTTTCAAAAAGTCTTTTCTTGTCCCACAGAGCCCACTGAGGAGGGCCCATCAGTGACCAGTAAAGACCCACGTTCCAGTTCTCCAGCCTCTGTAATGACACCCAACAGTACACCAACTCCTGGGGGCCCGGGATCCCCACAACCCAACTACCAGGAGCAAGCAGAGAACCGAGGGTGAGAACCAGTAACTGGGACTGGACTTTTCTGTTCAAATAGCAGCTGAGGTTTGCGTGTTGCATGTTGGACGTGTAAACGTCTCCTTCTTTTTCAGGGAGGAGGAGGAGAAGGGGGAGGGCACTGATGTGTGTTTGGACAGACTATCAGAGGCCGAGGAGAAGGTCAAGTTCCTTCATACCTGTGAGTGGTTTAAACACTGACACCAACTCTGTATCTCTGTTATATTTAAATGAAGTCCATTCAAATGCCTGGACATATGTACTTGTGATACGCTGCCCCCTGCTGTTACAGGACTGTGTTTAACTAAATATTGCAATGATTTTTTTAAAATGTTTTGACTTTTTTTTTCATGATAAAATTATTGTAATGTGCAGTGAACAGTCGATGAGAATATGCTTTGGGTTGGGTGATTCTGTTCTAAAGTTGATATTTCTCTTGTGCTCCAGCTTTGAACACTGCACAGACTGAGCTGCTGGACCTGCGATGTAAATACAACCAGGAGATGACCAATAAGTAAGAATCTATTTCTTCTTTCATAGTTTGTTCTGAGTTTAATCACCTTAAAAATAAATAAATAAATAATAAGAAAGAGAAGTAAATAGAAAATAAAATATTATATAATAGAAATCCCATTGTTATACATTGTTAGGACTGTATTGATGTCTGGCTATTTCCCTTTAAAAGCCTTGTCAACATCAGATAATGTAATTAAAAAACAAAATAGTCTCTGGTGAAACGCCTCTGTACTGGAAAGTTACTGCAGAGCTACTCCATACTGCTGCCTCTAGAACCTAGAACGTCCTGTCCTCCACCTCCACCTGTCCTACAACTCCACCTGTTTAATACCCAGGATGGGAATGTATGAGAATTTAATGATACTGTTAACATTATTAATATCAGTTATCCATTTGATTTTTTATTGAATCTTGTTGGGTACAGAAACTGCAACAGGGTTTGGAATTTGATTCAAACAAAATAAGAACCATGAAAAAAAAGACATTTCCTCTGCACAAAGGAGCATGTTTACATAAGATGCACCAGCAGCCCATTTTGCAAATACCTGTTTTTTTGAGTGTGTACGAGAGGAACCCAGAAATCTCCAACAACAATGTGTGTTCCTCATCTGCAGTTTTAAGGGCAGTGGTGGCACTGATCATGGCACCGTCCCCACTCACTGCTCCCTGGTCCTTAAAGCTGCCCACTGTTCACTTTGGTGATGGGTTAAAGGCAGAGGTCACATTTGGTTGTGTGTCACAATGACAAGGAGTTCACTTTCCTTTCCTAAATGTAATTTTAGTACATGGACGTGACTATAGTCATAGTTTATAGTATGTGAACACTAGAACGCAGTGTTGCATTATATTATATTTGGGTGAATACTTATATTTTCATGTGTTGTCATTGTCAAATCTCAGCATGTCTTTTCAAATGGCCTCCGTGTCTGCTTTTCAAAATGCAGCCACACTTCAAACTGCTTCTGTCTTGGTGTCAGAACGGGAATGTCCTGCAATGTCATCACACATGATTCCAAAAATCGAAGCCACTGACGACCAGTTCTTGGAGTTGGTATCACTGTTTCCAATCCCTAATTCAGATGTTGTTAATAGCACCCCCTGCTGGAGAGATGGAAAGGTGTGCTCTGTGTTTTCCAATCCTTACCCAAAATTCCTACACAAACTGATTGCAAGGCTGTTACATTAGCCCTGCGTCGAGCCTGTGTGTATTGTTGGTCTTGAAGTGGACCTTCCAGCTCCTCCTCCAGTGCTGCAGCTCCTTCTTGGATTTGCTCCTCTTAAGTCTCATCAGGTCAATGGTAGATCTGAGAAACGCCACAGTCAAGGCAGTTAGAAAGAGTGACTCAGTCTCTGATGCAGGTCGATGAGAGAGGTCTGTGTTTGCTTTCACTGGCAACTGGGCCTTGACAGCCCTCAAGAAGAATTGCTCCATTTAAAGATTGCTTCAGAAAACACTCTACCTTGTCCTAGTCTTTGAGCGCAATGTATCCACCATGTGCCTGAAATGAATCAGAGTTTGTATGAAGGATGTCGATAGACATTCAAAGCAAACACTATTTTGTTTGGGTTTTACTTCAGAGCACAGTCGCCCCCTGCTAATGGATTTTTCTCCCAGGCTTAATCCATGCTGCAATTGAACTGATGTTTCTGGACCCACTGCCATCTATTTTGTTGGGTGGGACACCTTTTCTATTTGGGCCTACGTCTCGCGTGAGGCAGCGGTGGCTGTGAAAGAGAGTTTCTGCTGCAGTGTGTCATTTAGCACGTGCATCATCCTGCTCTCATTGCTCACCTGGCTGACAGTAGCGTCACTGACCCCACAGCTCCAGCCTCAATTGTCCGTCCCCGACCCTGAGCCTCGCAGCGGCAGCTTCTCTCTATTACTCTCACTGACTGTTTCCTCAATGTTGATAAGAAAGACTATTTGTCTGCTTGGGCTTGAGTAGCTGAGCAGGTAATCAATACAAAACATTTTCCGTACCGCACAAGTTCATAAAACGTGGAGCTGACACCTGTTAGTGTTTGCTTGTCAGTGGGCGGCAAATTTCCTGCTCTTATTGATAGAACCAGGCCGTGAGTGAGACCCTCTGAAACCAGAGCTGCAGTGCACAGTACTAATGGTGAGGAGAATAATATATACGGGTATATGCAAAAAAAAAATGAATTGCCAAAAATGATTAAAAGTAGGTCCAAGAAATGTGTGAACATAAATAGTTATTATGAAATGATAAACTAAATTATGTTAAAAAAAAACGTGTTTGATGTGATGTCTTAATACACAACCTACCTATGAGTAAAAATATATATATATATAAATATTCTTAGCTCACAAACATGTAAATTAATCACAAAAACTCATGTGAGACTATAGGAGCAGTCAGGTAAAAACATATGAGTCATTTCAGCTCTGTTAAATACAAAATGTAAAAAATACTGTAGTATATTTGAGGCACATTTTGTCCCTTTGGTGCTGTGTCCTGAAAACATAAATATGCATATTCAAATAAATCACAGCTGCCTCATTAATTCATTCTGATCTACCTTTATTTTAAAAGTGCAGTCCCCAATGGCAAATGGAACTGAACTTCAGCAGTAACTGTAGTTAGTGCTTCACTGGTCATCAAATGATTGGCTGATTGACAGACGACCTCGAGTCTGGTTGTGACAGGCGATTGCCATCATGGTCCTGAATTGGAAACAAATGTGTGATGTAGTCTTGTCAAATTTTGGTCCAGCGTCTTAGTAAATCTATTGACGAGCTGATCATCTGAAGACATAGGTGGCTCCAACCATATGCTAGTTATGCAAGATGTTCCTCCTCTAACAGTTCTCACTATTTCATCTGGATTTGCCTGGAAGGACACAAATGCTGTTTTCACACTTGTTTTCAAACATGAATCCACTTTGTATTAGTCAATTCACTCCATTCCTGTTTTTGTTCACATTCAGAAGGGGATAGAGTATATGTTAACTGTTGTAAATTTTTAAATTGACACATAGACGTTGTCATGTGATCAACACAACAAGAATTAGCGAGCTATTTGAGGTTTTTGATCAGACATATGTAGAGTGAAAACCACATTGTTTTTTGGCTCCTGTATTAGTTCATTCTGGATCCAAACCAGAGGTGGAGGTGGACCCATCTAGATTGTGAATTAGTTAATGTGCATTAGTGGAGGAGTGAGTACGCATTACTTTTGACTATGAACACAAACATGGAGCAAAACTAGTGTCACTGCATTTCCCACTTTCCTAGTGGGAAAATCAGCAAAATCTTGATGAGATTTGTGACGTAGGATTAATTTTCTTGCCCAGGAACACATTGGCATGCAGACCGGAGTACACACATGTAACTTTTTCAAAATTGACCCAGTCCATGGACAATCATAGCTACAAGACGTCAGTCTTTTGTGAACCATGGATGAAGTGTTATGAATGGTTTCTATTTTTGGCTGAATGACGTGTGTGTCTGCATGTGTTCCAGGGAGACAGAGATTGACACCATTATGGCGAGTCTGGAGAAAGCCAACCAGGTGAGTACATTCAGTTTTGATTAGGTTGTAATCACTCCTGCAATCAAGGCCCGTCTTTAATTAGACCCTCTCCGTCCTGCACCCCTCCTTTCCCTGCCTCCTCTCCTTCCTTTCTCCCTTTTTCTCGCCCTTCCTTATCTGAGCGTGTGATAAGCAAGTATAAACCTGTTCTGACCCCCCCCCCCTTTACTTCCCCCTCCCCCTGGACAGTGGTCACACTAGAGCAGCAAGGCTCCACTCTGCTGAGAACACACTACAGAACTGGATTGATGCTCGGCCCAGAACTCTGAGGTTCTTAGTTACCTCATTGTCTTGATTGGTTCTTGTCCCAATGATACCTCTCTCCTCTCCTGCTCCCTTCTTCTCCCCATATCCTCTTCTTCTATCTGCTCTCCTGCTGCTGCTCTTTGCTAACGACTGCTCTTTGCTAACGACTACTAGATAAATGTCCTCAAAATGAATCATTAATTAGAGCCGGTGTGACAGAGCAGGTAAACAGTTTTTGGAATAAAGTGGGCCGAGGAAGCAGCACCCTCAGCAGAATAAACTGGTGACTGCTCTTGTCTGCTCACGCCCCTGCTCGGGTTTTTGGTGCTCAGCGCTAAAATTTTTTAGCAAGGGCGCCTTCTTTTGATTTATGTAGAGCATACGCCCTCACCTTGATCGTCTTGTTAGCCCGTTGATGTGCTTAGTGTTGGGGATTTTAAAGACTGTGATGCGATGTCTGTGCACAGAGAGCAGAACTGGCTCAGAAGGAGGTGGAGAGGCTAAAGGAGCAGTTAGCCAATGGTCAGAATGCCGCCACAGGCAACTCTCATCCAGCAGAGGGCACCAGCAGGGTAAGCTTGTAATGATGTTCATGAACACAGCAGTAAAAATCACTTTGAATAAACTATATTGCACAGAGAGAAAAATAGTTTTTGTACCAGGCCTTTGAAAGATCGTCATGAAATTTTGAGCAACACATCTACTGACCCATGGTTCTGTATGTGTTAACAGCAGGATGAGAGTTACTGACTGTCCTCTAACGTTGTCTCACCTCCTCACACTTTTTTTTTCTCACCCTGACAGGAGAAGAAGGAGAAGGGTGAGGTGTTGCCCTCACAGTTGGAGGCCGCCCTGCTGGCCAAGGACCGTGAAATCCTCCGTCTTCTAGAAAACATTCAGCGGCTGCAGTTCACACTGCAGGAGGTCCAGGAGACATCGTCCAATCAAATCCTGGAGCTGGAGCGCCAGTTGGCGTACAAGATCGCAGCGATCGAGGTGAGAAACTGTGACATGTGAGATGACAGGAGGTGCTGGAGAACTTTTCACACAGCTCTCAGAGGCTGTGACAGTTAACGCTCATTATTTCTGATTTATTTTCCATTTCAGAGATTAGAGGCTAAACTGCAATCCCAGATTGACTATGAAGAGATTAAAACTGAGCTCAGGTGATATTTTTGGTGCCAGCAAAATGTCATTTATAACAATGTGAAATAAAACTGTGTTGCATTGACTCTGCCTCTTCGTCTGTTACTGTTCACAGTACCCTTAAAGTAATGAAGATGGCTTCAGCTAATGGAGGCTCATCACAGGTATATATACGTTGTCCCAAAGGGGGTTAGAGGGTCAGGTTAACACCCTTAATTGTTAACTTGGTTGTGTTGATGTTATTTTTTGTAACTTGGAATCACTGGTCTCTCCTCCGTTTCTCCTAAATATTTTAAGTCCTTTAGAATGTTGTTGTTAATTTTCACTTTGGTGAAGACTGTTTTCTTACCAAATATTGCTTTGGGAAACACTGCTTGAGACAAATAACAGGTTTCATGCTGACGTTTTTTCATATATTCATAGATTTAGTTTTTATGTTTTTATTATTGTTTAAATAGAAAATACATTGTCTAATGATAGAAAGGAAAATAAAGGTGCTCTAAAATATACTAGTGAATATTTCCTTTGTGTGGAAAATTTCTCCATCATCTGAACCTGTGACTTACTGATGGTCATCTTTTGTGTTTGTGTAAAGGAGTCTGCCAAGGCTACAGAGACTCTCCTCCTGGATAAAGAGCCCTTTCTCCCGTCTCACAAATATCTGGTGGATAAGTCTCGACTTTTGCACAGCACTGGTAAAAAAAAAAAGAACAAACTCTTTTTTTTCTTTCTCCTACTCTAAGTCTAAATATAATGTTCTGGGAGTTTTAAGAGGTAGTGAGTTTTGTCAAATAGTCCGCTAATTGCCTGGTTTTTATTGGTCAGGCTCAATTGATTTCTGGACTCAGTGTTATTCAGACTTGAATCTCTGCATAAACTTAACTCACGAAGGTCCAGTGAAGGGCTGAGAATGAAACTGTATTTTTCTCTCACCAGACGACGACCAGTCTGATGATGCAGGAAGGGAGACTGGCAGACCACTCGGATCCCACTCGTCTTTCTCTCAGGTGGATGTCCGGGCATCACCCAGCCCAGGACCACCCACTCTGGATGGTTCGTCCTCCTCCAGCCATGACTTGGCTCGTCCATTCTCGGTGTCTCCGTGCTCCATGGAACGACAGTCAGCAGATCACGTCCTTCACAAGCAGCTTCTTTCCCCACACTTTAAAAAAGAAAGCCTTATGGCTTTTCCTACAGCCCTGTATGCAGCTAAAGTGGCTCTGATGTCAACCACTCATAGTTCTGTGGGAGCAGGCAGTGGTGACACCGGTTTACCCAGTGACCAGTCAGAGAGTGGCAGCTCCACAGCTGGAGACGAGGACCAGCTCGACACAGCAGAGATCGCCTTTCAGGTGAAGGAGCAGCTGCTGAAACATAACATTGGCCAGCGTGTGTTTGGTCACTATGTGCTGGGCCTGTCACAGGGATCAGTCAGTGAGATCTTAGCCAGACCAAAACCCTGGAGGAAGCTGACGGTAAAAGGAAAAGAGCCTTTTATCAAAATGAAGCAGTTCCTCTCTGACGAGCAGAACATTCTGGCCCTTAGGACCATCCAGGTCCGACAGAGAGGTTAGTGGAAGCAAACTCCTATTAAACAGTCACAGCTGTCACTCATACACAGCATCCAATGTTTTATTGTGTATTTTTGTAAATGGAACCATGAAATCCAGGACTGAAGTCTTCTCTTTTACAACTTATAGCTATAGCTATATGGTAGCATTAAACACAAAGCTAATTTTTGTCATTTACTAATATGTAGAGACAGTATTTTTTAGCTAGCCTTACCTAAGGATGGCTCGATCTGATACTCAGGAGGGGTGTTGGTCTGATATTTCAGGATTAGATATTGACAAAACTACACTATCGCCTCGGTAACTGCAGTCCACGGCTTGCTGGAGGAAAAAAGAAGGTATCGGATTGATACCTTCTTTTTTCCTACAATTTGCAGTATTGATATCCATCCTGACATCTCTAGTTTTAATCGTAGCTTATTTAAGTTAACTCCTTGACTTTTAGCTATTCATTTTATTTATATTTTGGTTAATGTTTACTATACTAACGTCAAGTAATACCAGACCTTATTTCTGTTTGACCATGAGCTCAGAACTATGGTCATGCAGGAGCTGAATTATTATAAGACACCTCTGTGAAGTGTTCCCCTAATATAATGAGTAAAGTTAATGAATGACTGGTTTATAATAATAGAACAGCTTCATCATAAAAATGTGTTTCCATTATCTTGTAGGTATTAATAAAAACACCAGGATTCCTCATCATAAACACAGTCGCTTTATCGTAGTACACCTTCATGCTGTTTTAGAAAATGAAGTCTTTGTTAAAAATAAATTCTTGTATTTATTTACGAAAAAAAAATCATGAGGTAATAAATATAAAAGACTACATTTATCCCCATGCACTGTGAGCCTGTTGATAACCTGACCTTACCAAAGTACTTTGTGAAGACTGTGGTTGTTTTCACCGAGCGTGTCCGAACATTGTACGTTTAAACCTCTTTAATCTACTCCACCCTCACTTCTGACTTGACTTCTTTACCGCTTCCTCTGCAATGTTACTCCAAAACTTTGTTTTCTCCCTAGATTCACAGCTTTTTGAAAGTTAAGCTTCCTGTATACTGCAACCTCAGACAGCACGCACTCAAAGGCAGCCATTGATCTACCAGTCAAAGCAAAGCCTTGGAAGTGCTCTCTGATCAACCATCCCACTCACCCTCCTCTTTTTTTCCTCCTCCTCCTCCTCCTCTGTATCTCTCCCTGTTACCCTCTGTGGCAGGGAGCATCACTCCACGCATCCGAACTCCTGAAACTGGGTCAGACGATGCCATCAGGAATATCCTGGAGCAGGCCAAGAAGGAGATCCAGTCCCAGAGAGGAGGTGAGGATAAGCTGCCAGTCATACAGTGAATATAAATACGTCACACACACAATCTGTACATTTTAATTTAACTCTGTAAGGAGGGAAATTGACTAAAATACAGGTTGTTACATACATCTACCACCACTAGTTTTTTTAGTCATTATTGTGCCAATTGTGATCTGTAGATTTAGGATCAAACACCTGTCATCTTATCACAACACAGGATGTTTACTCAATGTCCTTTGATGTTGTCCCTCCTGGGTAATACCTTAAAAAACAAGATCCCTCTGAGGAATTCTAAGATCTTTGGTGTTTCTGTAGGGTGCCACACTGAAAGCATGAAAAAATTCTAGTATAGAAGCAAAACATTTATTTTTGTGTATTTGTGACTTTATGTGATGGCAGAAGAAACAACGAAGAAAACTTTGTAGCATCGTAGCATTGATTATACCTTGAGAGCTTCAAGGTATAGAAGGGGTTTTGTTTGTTTTCAGTTGTAATGTTTAGAATAGTCTCTGAATAAAAAAAGAAAAGTTTCTACTAGTGAATATCTTGGTGTCTTTGACATTGAAAATCCTGGCTCCTGAAAGCTGGAGTTTGTCAACTTCTAATATCTCCTGTATGTCAACGCTAAAAGCCATATTGATTAATTTTTTTGGATAATTAAATACAATGTCGGCTTACTTTAATAAACTCTTTGATGTACTGCTCTAATGCATATTTTTAGGTGATGGCAAGTTGTCTCTGAGCAGCTCTTCAGGCAGAAGCAGTAATGGAGCTGGGGGCAGCTCAGATGAAACCATAAAGAACATTCTAGAACAGGCCAGGAGGGAGATGGAGGCCCAGCAGCACGCCCTGATGGAGATGGAAGCTTGTGGAAGAGCTTCCGCTGCCAGCTCAGGAGCGCAAGTGGAACGTCTCGGGCCTCCAGAGCGCACCAGGGGCCTGCCTTTACCCATCTCTATCAAGCAGGAGGAAGGGGGCTGTGTCACTGTGTGCATGGCCAACTCCATCAGCAGCCCTCAGACTCCACTCAGTGTGCTGTCACCTGCAGCCTTTGTCCAGAACATCATTCGTAAAGTCAAGTCAGAGATCGGTGAAGCTGGCACCTACTTTGATCAGCACTGGTCACAGGAGCGGGGCTCCATGGCCTTCAGTGCTGGAGGTAGTTCTCATCCCTTCACTTCTGTCTCCCCATCCTTGTCCTCCTCCTCTTCTGGGCCTCCTACTTTGTCACGGCCGTGGCCTCGTCTGGAGAACGGTGAGTGTCTCCCCAACAGTGAAGAGGCCTCTGCAGCAGATGATGAACTGGGCCTCAGCAGACCGGTGGAGGTGAAGGTGGAGTCAGACACTTCAGTAAGCGGCGAGTCTCCGGGTCCTGGTCCAGGACGTCTGTCCTACTACCCGGCATACATCCCACGTGCCCTTAAACCTACTGTACCACCACTGACCCCAGAACAGTATGAGATGTACATGTACAGAGAGGTGGACACCATTGAGCTGACCCGGCAGGTGAAGGAGAAGCTGGCCAAAAATGGCATCTGCCAAAGGATCTTTGGAGAAAAGGTCAGATGTTGCTCACGTGTCTTAAACCTAAATGTAGAAATGGCATTCATTATAGGTAAGGTCAGCACCTCCAATAAACAAGTTCAGGAACCACATCCACAGGCACAGCTTATTTACAACTCGTAAATGGTGTGATTCTGCCATCTAGTGGTTAGTTTTTAGAATTTGTATTAATTTTTATTTCAGTAGCAACACTATGTAAATAATCAATAGACACTCACTCCTTGTTTTGTTTTCTCCCAGGTCCTGGGTCTTTCTCAGGGCAGTGTAAGCGACATGTTATCTCGGCCCAAACCTTGGAGCAAACTGACCCAAAAAGGCAGGGAGCCCTTCATTCGCATGCAGCTGTGGTTACTGGACCAGCTGGGCCAGAGCCTCAACCCACCCCCGAGTCAGGGCCATGCTCAGGGTAATGTCCAGACACACATCTCACCAAACAGACAATCCTACACTATGTATTACAGTCAGGCTCATCAGAGGGAAATAAAACCAAAGTTGTAAAAGACCATAAAATGCTGTACATGTTTATATTTACAAGGTTTGTTTAGAATGTTTATGGCTTTTTTAATTATCTGATTTTTTTTTTAAATTCACAGTTAAGTGATGTTTTTTAACTATTATTGTTCTTAAAATAAACATTTTAAACAACTAAATATGATTACTGGAGGTAAAGGCCCAAAGTGAGTGACTCATCACCTTTTATAATTTCTTTCTTTTTCTTTTCTTTACCAGTAGACAAAAGCCCAGTGACGGCCCATTCTTCACCCTCTCCGCCACCTAGTCCAGCAGACAGTCATCCAAGTCCTCTGGTCGAACCTGTGGGTCTGTCCCTGGAGAGCAGCAAAGAGAACCAGCAGCCTGAGAGCCTGGGCCTGGGTCGGGGTCTGCACTCTCACCCAGACGGAGGAGGAAAATCCATCCCTGCACTCATGGCTTTATATCAGCCGAGAAACCCGCTGGGCATCCAGGAGCTGGTGGCCATGTCTCCAGAGCTGGACACTTATGCCATCACCAAGAAGGTGAAGGAGGTGCTAACAGACAACAACCTAGGTGAGAAGCATTAAACTGCACTACTGGTGTGATCTAAGAATACATTTTAGAAAACAAACCCTGACTGACATGGGGTTTTGTTTTTTCACAGGTCAGAGACTTTTCGGGGAAACCATCCTGGGTCTGACACAAGGTTCTGTATCAGACCTGCTCTCTAGACCCAAACCCTGGCACAAGCTCAGCCTAAAAGGCAGAGAACCATTTGTACGTATGCAGATGTGGCTCAGTGATTCTTACAATGTAGACAAGCTCAGAGTCATGAAGAAGATGGAGAAGAAAGGTTTGTATTTTAATGGTATTTAAAGCAAAAATAATAATTATCTTTTGACTCAAGTTTGAGTTGTTGGCGTTCTGTAATCCCTTTATACCAGATATTACTGTCTTCCCTCCAGCCTATCTGAAGAGGCGATACGGGCTGCTCAGCACCAGCTCGGACAGTGACTCACCCAGCACTCGATCTGAGTGTGTGAGTCCGAACTTGGTCTCTATCGACCTGTGTCCGTACGGCCAGGTGAAAAAGCCCAGGGTGGTGCTGGGAGCAGAGGAAAAGGAAGCACTGAGAAAGGCCTACCTGCTGGAGCCCTACCCTTCACAGAACACCATCGAGATGCTGGCCTCCCAACTCAACCTCAAAACCAATACGGTCATCAACTGGTTCCACAACTACAGGTCAGTCCATTAACTTTTATCTACTGTTTTTAACTGTTAGGTATTGCTTTATCACAAGAAGCTTAGCTGCCACTTTCTAAGGCACTGAAAGAACATTTTAAGGGTTAACAAACCCCAATCTTTGTGTAAATCTGGTCTAATGATCAGTGTTTGTGTGCAGGTCCAGGATGCGACGCGAGGTGCTGATGGGAGGTCTGCCGGACAATGACACAGACGCTGAGCACCACAGCTACCTGCCATCAGTGACACGGAGCCCAAACTCTGACGGAGAGGACAGGAAGCTGCAGAAGCTCTCAGGACACAACACTGTGCTGCCTCATGTCAAACAGGAGGCAATGGACGGGGAAGAAGGAGAGCACGAGGAGGAGGGGGAGGAGGACTCTGAGAGAGAACCAAAAGTTCAGTGTTTTTCTTTGGCAGTTCAATACCCACCGCTGAAAAGTGAACACCAGGACTCCGACTCTGGCTGCCGTGAACCTCACTTGATTGGCCAGAGGCACGAGGAGGAATCGACCAGCCAAGCTCAAGGGTTCCACTCTGGCTCAGATTCCACTGAGGGAACCCAGAGAGGCAGCCACTCCAGGCCTGAGGGTGAAGACTCTGGGAAGTCCCCCATTGACCCAGTCAGCTTCAAGTCCTCATCAGAGCCCTGTCGCAGCAGCCTGGAGGTCTCCCTGAATTCCCCCTCTGCAGCTTCCTCACCTGGCCTCATGATGTCAGTCTCCCCCGTCCCTTCTTCCTCTGCTCCCATATCACCCTCACTGCCCAACACACCCTCAACCAGCACCAACCACAGCCTTGACCCCAACCACATCCCTCCCTTCCAAAGCCCCAAAGTCAACAGAAGCACTCAGAGACGCAATGAGAAAATGGCCAACCTCAATAACATCATCCACAGGCTAGAGAGAGCTGCCAATCGAGAGGAAACACTGGAATGGGAGTTTTAGGTCCCTTGTCTCCCCATGTATGTAGTATGTTGACATTCACATAGGTGGAGACTCAGATAAAATCTTCTCCAAGACTGTATGGAGCCCAGCTCCCAAAATCCCTGTCCTCTCAGACTGGCAACTGTCACAGGAAACAGGAATGTGGAGCTAAACTCCCTGCAAAAACTAAAAAAAAAAAAAGAAGGCGGGGGATAAATTGTTTATAAATGTGTTTTTCTTTTTGATAATGCATACTACTTTGAAATATGTATATGTGACAGCCGTAGCTGTTGTTTTACCTTTTGGACTTGACATGAAGACTTTTGCAGCAGCTATGGTGTCATTAAATGTACACTGAAGTTCTGTAGATTTGCCACTGGGTGAGATTAAAAAAGACCCCTGTCTTAAGCCATTAAAAGCACTACAACTATTTAAAAAAAAGAGACACTGACCAAATTTGCTACTTTTTGAATAGCAATTTTTCAGATTTTGTCTGTGAGACTGGACAGTGTAGGTCAAGTAACATGAAGTCCTGTTACTGACAGAGGGATAGTCCTTTAAGACTCTAAATACTCAACACCTTGTATGTACTTTCTTGCTTTCTTGGTGATATGTTTTAAAAAATCTTTGTAACTCACACGTATAAAATGTGGTTGTATATGTTGTAGAGTTGTCTGCAATAGCCTTCTCTGAACCTGATGTAGCATGGTACTCACCTGACCCTCTTATCCTCTGTAGTTAGTCATCTGTGATTATACTCGAGTGAAAACAAGAGAAAAAAGATGAAAACCCTGCAAAAATAAGAAAAAAAGTAAACATAACCCTAACCAGTAGAGTACTTTTAGTGTTTTCGTTTTGTTCGCGTTTTTGAGATTAACCCTTAAGGTTTACAGTTTAGGGCCTCGTGCTTTTTCAGTGGCACAGTTTACACAGTTAATTTCAGACTTACCTCTCAGTCTCTATTAAGGCACTGGATCTCCGACTGTATTGGGCCATGACACCAGACACCTGGTTTACCTCAGATTATGTTGAGGCACATCATGACATCATGACACATTCAACATCAACATGAGCCATGCTTCTTTTAATCATTTAAGGGGAGGGTATTGGTATCACGCTCCAGAATATTACTGATAAAATTAGTCCCAACGAGCACAAGTTGTCACAGAGAATAAGCTGCTTTTTATTGGGGCGTGGATGCTCCTTTGCCTCCTCCTCTCTTGACTGACTGAGTGTACTTTCTCAGGAGGCATCTTCTACTACAGCTACAATATCATGCACTTGATCAAAGCCACTCAACCTCTATGTGTACAGACATGCTGTGAAGTGAAGAAACATAGAGAGAATTGGTGCTGCAGGCAGCACTGAACAGACCTGGGTACCTTCATGCAGATGTTTGGACCCGATGCCCATGACCTCTTCCCCGGTGGACTGCCCTGTGGTCCTCAGATCCAATGCTTGTTGAGATAAGGATGAGGTGGAAAGATGGATTTGTTCTATGATTATTGTTCACAAATTTAGTCTGTGCTTTAAAAAATAGCTGGTCTGAAAAATATGGAAACAAGAATTATCTGATGGACCTGGTCATGCAGACAGGACATTGGTTATTTTTGTCAGAACTGCTATACGAACATCAATTCCAGATTAAACAAAAAACTGGTTTAATTTATAACAGTGAATGTAAAACTAGGAAGTTAAAAAAGAAGGGAAAAAAAGATACAATTAAGAACCTAATTGATAAAGTCAGTATAGTCTGCATGGTCCATTTCCTTTTGGCCAGTCAGGACTTTATTAACATTCATTCAACTTCATCGCTTAACACTATGTTGATGTAGTGAACTCAAATGCCACTAGATGACAGTAAATGCAACATCACCGTTGCCACACTGCGTTCGTTCCACCGACTGTCACGTCTGCACTGATAGTTGTGTATATTCAACTACCTTCTAGGAGGTTTAAATAAAGACATGACAGCCACATGGAAAATGTAAATGACCTTTACTAATTAAAATAAATATAATTTCCAGTGTTTTAGATTTGGAGAAACTTTGGCCCTTTATGGACATTGAGGAAGATGTTATTTTTTCAGTCACGGTGTTACATGACAAAAATACTCATTTTTGAAATAAAATTTAAAAAGAAAAAATAACACTATTATACTCCACAAGACATTTTACTCATAATGTTTTCTACACAAGGCTCCTAAATTTAATGTACCTAGAGAAAATGACTGTCTGTGAGTGATGTTTGGGGTTAGTGCCCCTGGATTAGGTCATCCATATTATTCAATTTTGGGGAAAGATTAGATCATTTTTTTTCTGACATATTCAGGACCAAAACTTTTTTTAAAAGATTTTTAAATAGCAGTCATGTTGGTGTGCAGGTCTTGTAAAGGTTTTCTGGAAACATCTGTGCTGAGATTGAAACTCCAAGTTCATAGTATTAGAGAGCATGATACACACAGTACCACCTCCCACTACCATGGAAACACTTGGTCTGTTGGTATACACTATATTGAAGGTCACACAAAGGTCACAGGTCTCCTCTCATATTATCTTTAACCACTTGTGTATCGTGTCTGTAGTTTCTTTGTCATGCCTGCAAAAAATTTCTTCTTTCTGTATTTTTGCCTCTATTTTATACTCAGTTAACTAGATATTCAATACCTCGCGTATGAATTACTTACAGCACTTAGATTGAAGAATTGTGAGGACTCGAGAAAAATTTGCTAATATCCACATTATCCTAACTTAGTGTCCACAAGTCTTTGCCTTTACTGTATCGTTGAAGTTGGTAGTAAACACTTGCACATGTCTACATAGTTCAGAGGACTTGGATTGTATTATGTAGAGATATATATTAACACATTTACAAAAACAAAAACAAAAAAACGCTATCTTACCTACTTGGAACAAAAATGATCTGATTATATTGAAATAGAGTGTACAGATTTAATAAACCAAACTCATTCAGAGCCAGTGGTGGTCTGGCAGGCTTGCCCACATTTTAGACCTTCTCTCAGGGTAGTCTTGCTTTTTAAAGGTTAAGTCGAACACCTGCTCTCATCAGTGATTCCGACTCTCTGCTTAAACATTACCTGGTGTAGGGGACAGCTTCATTGTTTATTAAACAGGCCTGTGATCGGTGAAGGTTATATGAGAATAAAAGCTCTCACAGGAGGCTAAGGTTTGTCAGGAGTTTGTCGCTGTTAGTAATTCATTAAGTCACAGAAAAAGCTACACTGGGAAGATTTTGACGGGTTGCATTTTATATTTCAGGGGACTTTGCTCTCTCAAGTTAATGTTCTTTTTTTCTATGAGCCACAGAACTTTGTTTTCTTGTTTTCTTCCTTTTTTGTACCATGATTGTTGTGCATACTGTGTGATTAGAAGTGGATGTTTTTTTTACTGGCTTTTCGCCATATTTCATGGTAAATTGAAACATTCTGGACAATAACTCTCCATGTGATGCTTATTTCATCTCATTGCTCTGCATGAAAAATTCACTCTTGCCACAGGGAACAGGGATAGACTATGGATTGAAGTAGCACTTGTTTTATTTCATTTAAGTAATGACCATGCATGATCAAGCTTATGAACGTGACCCTTACTGAGCCATTAAGAATTCATTGCAATGTATCCAAAACAACCAAATTAGAGGAATAATTATTTTCCACGCATTATGCTGTTGTCCGAGGTTGTGGACTCTGTCGGTAGGAAAAACTTTTGGTCCAACTTCAGCTAACATTTTGCAAATACATCACAGTTGTTCCAAACTAAAGGAGCAGATTATTACTGTAGATGATGCATTTGCCTCATAAACTGCTCAAAATATCATAACAAATGTTATACAAATTCAACATGGCAATGATGTCTGATTAAATATGACAAATTTTCAGTGGTGCATGGGTTACTTCATTAGCAGAAAACAATTTCATGCAGCAACCATTTTCTGGCCTGTTATCCTGCAACTTTACAGCTAGGAACCCTGGATCAACAATTCTTCATTGAAGTTATAATAAATCTTGCATTGATTGAGGTTTAAAAGAAACTGCACACCTATTGAACAAGGCAAATGTATTGGTCTAAGTGGTCTGCAAGGGTACTTTAAGCTTTGCAGGCAAATGGTGTTGTATGATGAAAATAGTATTTATATTCTGATGGATATCTCAAAGAATACTACTATATGTTGAAAATGGCTTGTTTTCTTCTTTACCATCACTTCATACAAATTTAAAGTTAATATTATTTTTTGCCTCATGGACTGTCCTCACATAAACAAAATGCCTTTTGGTAATGTGATTTTAGAGGGTGTAGTGTAAGGATTTCCATCAATTAACTTAGAAAAAAGCAAAGCTTTTTCTAACCAGAGCCCTACATGCTAGATACTGGGTTTTATTTTGTGATTGACATTTGTCACTAAATAAAGAGGTAATCTGTCAACGAAATTGGAATGACTGTATTCAAAGTTGTGGATAAATGGGATTTTTTTTTAAGATTTAGGGTATATCAAACAGGATAAAAATGTTTCCTGCTGTGAGCTAATAAAGAGAATGGTCCCACAGGCTTTGGCAGATGTTAGATAAAAAGACTCAAATGGTGACAGTAAGTAAAGAATGAAATAATACTATGATGAGTTTCTTGGAACTGAATTTGCATATGTAAGCCATTATTCAATACATAATTGTTTAAGAGTCTAGTGTGTATGCGTTTTTATTTCTTTATTGTGAGAATTTGGTCTATCACACACACACACACACACACACACACACATACACAAACACACAGACACAGGGTAGCTGTGGATTATCATTGTAATGTATTACGATTAATCAAGGTAAATTGTCATTCGTACATTTTGTCATTCCTACATATTGCAGGAACAGAAAGGGCAAATAACAGCAGGTAAATTTACTGGTTTCCATCAGCTTTTATTTGTGACTATTTTAAATAATTAAATCGTATATAATGTGCAGGAATGTCAAGCAAAATATGTAAAACCTGTTGAACATGTCGAAAACTTCAAGCCCTCATTCTCAAAAATAGTAATTTGCAATCCATTTGACAGCGGTAGTACTCCACAATATTATATGTAATAAAAGTACTTTCCCCCCTTCGTTTAAGCCGATTTCCTCAGCAAGATTGATCGATTGTCAGCCGCAGACCCATTTGTTGGCCTGCTCTCAGTGGAACTGGTGTCTGAACCGAAAGTTGAAGCCAGTGCGTGCAAATATTAACGTGTGAATCCATAACTGACCATGTATCAGAGAATGGACTATAGAATTATTAAGAAATGAGTGCGCATCATTCTGTCCATGCCTTAAAATGCTTTAAACATTTAAATCAGATGTATCTTAAGAAATTAATCAACGCGTTGATTCCGACACACACAATTTAAAAAATACAAAACATGAATACTTCTCGTATTATCATTTCCACAAGCCAGAGACACAATGTTTACATGACAGTACCACGTGGTTATTCAGAGCCCCTCCCCCAGCTTCGAGTGCAGTGCTAACGCAATTACGTCGCAGATCACGTGAGTCTGTCGCGCTGGAGTGTTCGCTGTGATGGCGACGACGGCTGGGTGAGAGCAGTACAGTGACTCGTTGAAGGCTGTGGCCTCGGCTCGGATATGACTAGCGATTACTCAATCGATGTCTGTTCTTTGCTCAGCAACTCAACGGGCTTCGGCTGAATCATCCGGTCCCTTGACTTCCCAACGCCGTCTCGGACGTGGTGAGTGCCGCCACCGGCCGAGCTCGTCCCTCGGTTGTGTTTTGACTGAGGCCTCTGCTTTTTGGGGCCCGCCCTCCATCTCATAACAACAAAAACAGACCTGCTACTGCTTCGGCGGCGGCTGTTAGCTGGAACGGCTAAATGCTCTCAAAGCTGCGTCTAGCTTGTCTTCGATGCCTTGTATTGGTCGTTTAACAGAAAACATCGACGTTTTATACTCTACTGCAAAATGTTTTTAAATAAAACGTCAACTGTTGTTACTGCAAGACTAAATATATACTGTGGATTTACGCTAGCATACTAGCGCTAACACTATTATTTGATAACGTTAGCTACAGAAACGGCAGCTTAATGCTAGTTAAAGGCAGCTACATTTAAACCGCACACTTAGATGAACAAACATATTTACGTTTTTTGACGTTAGTGTTGACATTTGAAGACCCGACCTTTGCAGTAAACACTAAAACACTCAACTTGATAGCGTTGGTATGGGACTGCAGTTCAACATATCAAAATATATATATAATTTTATTTAACCTGAAATTAAACTGTCTACGTTAGATACATTATGTCTACCAGGTATAAACCCAACAGGTGTCAGTATAACAGCCAATCAAGTGTACAGTTAAAGATAAAACCACAAGAAGAACGAGAAACAGTCATATGGGGGTAATTTTAAATAATTGTCTGTCTAGTCTTTAAAAGGGTTCTATCTGTTTTTATTGGTCTCCTAGTAGGGTCTAGTTCCATGATCACTTTAACATTTTTCAGGTTTTCTATAACGTTTAGATCAGAGCTAATTGCAGGTCACTTAATATTAGTATTTAAAATATATTTTTTTATGGTTTTCTTTTGATATAGATTTTTCTCCTTTATTACAATTCTAGGATTCTGGTGTATTTGCTTAGCATTATAGTGTAATCTCTGGCTGGTTATGTTTATTTGGATCTTTCCTAGTTTGTTTTTACTCCTAATAAATGTGGTGATAACTGGTGATAATCTGTGCAAATCGCTAGTTCAAATATTTTATATTGACTGTCTGTGAAGAATGTCGACCTGAAATTATTTTCCTGAAACCTATGCATGTTCACTTACCTCAAAGTCATCTTCACTGCTTCTCAAGTCCTTGTTCTTAATTAGGACGAGTGCAAGTCTTCTTTGTAAAGCAGGACGTGTTGCTTCAATGTGTTTTTACATTTGATCATAGTTGATGCATCCCATACCTTTGATGCTTTAATCAATTAAAGGGTACGATGTGTCTTCTATGTCTGTAAATTAATACAATAGTGATGTGAGTGATTTAAGAGTGCAATTGTCCTTCTGTGCAGAACTTCATCTCTAGTTATTTTTCATACCTGGACATAAAGGTCAAAATCACGTCAATTGCATGAAGCATAAAGGTCCATGAAGCTCTGTAATCTTGCAATGAGTTGCAAATACAATTAACCAAAAAAACACTCATATGGTTGCTGTGGATTAATGGGTAGGGCAGGTTGTCTTTTTGTAAGATAAATTATAGAAATAAATGGGAGAAGATAAATGAATGAAGACAAATCACTAATATACTAGAACGTCCAAGTCACTTGAAATAGACACAATGAATTGTTTGCTAAATTTCTTGTTTTTCCACAATAAACCAACTTGCAAATATGTTTGCTTAAGCCTAAATATACACACATGCAGTACTATCTGTAAGCACCATTATTTATAGGATAATACAATTCCAAGGGAAACAGGAACTGCTACTCTCTGATCCTCTGATATGATTTATAAACGCAACACTCTGTTAGAACTTGCTAAACATAATCAAATAACTGACGCCTTTCCCTCCAGTAGTGTTGTACCTCTGATGCGTAGTCACATGACAGGAGTACTGTTAAGGCTCTGAGGTGCTTAGCCGTCACTGTGTGATTTTTGAACCCAGAGCCAGGCTGATCTGCATGTACAGGTCATGAGTTCACTGTGGTAAACAGAGTCGCGTGTGTTTATGTGCCGGGTAGATAGGCTTTATCAGGTAGCAGCAGCAGTAAAGGCCAGACTTCCACAGCAAAGACAAGACCGCCCCTCTTGCTGTTACTTACCAGACCAGATGGTGCATTGGCCTTTTCTTCAGAAATTTGCAAACCTGTTACCTAACATGCATCTTTTCTTGAGAATATTTGGTAAATGGATTGCTGACCTAATCACTACAATTGGTTTGTCTAGCTTCTTTTAGTGAAGCAGCATTGTTCTACATGTCTTTGCCTTTCGGCATCTTTAGTGTTCACCATAAGGTGTGTTGAGGTCCTGAGCAGCTCCTCAGATCAGATTTCATTCTCTGCAAGAGTAGTTGACCTTTACAACTATTTGTTGGCCTGTATGCTGAAAGATCTCTGACAGGTTGCCTGTTTGTGGGGCAGCGTTGTTAGGTGATATCGGTTTAAGGAACCACCTCTGTGAAAATGGATTTCGTTACCCAGTGGAAAATATTTGGTACATAATTGGACATCTGGGGCTCAACCATAAATGTTGCAATTAGGTGAATTTGCCAACCAGCCAAATGCTGTAAAATATTTGGATCTGCATGAGTAGTCATTTAGAGCAGGTAACCAGGCAGACCATTATCTGCTCCCGGAGGCTGGTATTCAGGGCTGCAACTAATGAATATGGTCATTGTCAATTATAAAACATTTTAATTAGTCCTTTCTTCGTATTATCTACTATGGGAAAACTGGCCACTGGATTCACAACAGACCTTAATTCCACAAAGTGACCAATTATTTTAAATTTACTATCATCTGTTGTTTACAGATTTAAGAAGAACCTTTCAAATTGAAAGTTACTGCTTACCAGAGGCTGAAACATAGCATTACAACCACAGAAAAAATGCACTGGTAAAGGAGGGAAGGAAGGAAGGAAAGTGAACTACTTGTCATTGTGTTACAATTCAATTTTCAACACGTTTCTCAATGATATTTTAATGTAGCAAAAAATTAAATTAAATTTTAAATAAATATAACGATTTTATTCCACATCAAACTTAAGGCAATATATCTTCGCTCACATGCAAGCCACACTGACCATTAGCTTGGCTATGTTTGTCAGGGAATAAAAGAGCTTCTGTAGCTGGAATGTCTTGGTGAAATAGTGTTCTGTTTGTCATCACAGAGTGTCAGTCATTATTCATTTGTGCATTTGCTTTAATTTTCACAGATTTCCATGTCTCACTTGTGAGACTTTTCTCTACCGGATCAACTACGTAGAACTGCCTTTGGTCTACCGCTGATTGGCTGTGGTAAGTCTGAAAGATGTACGTTATAGTCAGCAAAGCTTCTGTTCTACCAGATCTACTGTATAGCAATAGTGCTGAGCTGTATTGTTGCCAGTTCAGCATATACATTGTAAAGCCATTTCACATCGAGTTGACTACTGTTAATTTTGTTTTGAAAGAAATTAAGCTCGGCTGCCTCCTGGTCGACTATAGTCTACAATTATTTTGTTTCCTTCCCCTGTTCTCTGAGAACATAGTTATACATCCTGATTCTTGGGGAGCACAAGGAGCTCTTCAGGCTCTTCAATAGTTCCCACTCTTCAGACAGGCACAGAGCTACTTCGGTCTGTTTTCATGCAATCTTTGTAAACAAAACAGAAGTACTGCAATTTAATGTAAGAACCAGAGTGTTATTGTGGCTTATCATCTAAGGTAGTGACTTCATCCAGGGATGTTTTGGGGATCCAGTAAATTATTCTTTTAGACGAACTAGGAGTTGTTTGAGGGGAGAAGGCACCAGAATGACATGTCTGAATGAGCAGAAAGCATTATAATTTGTTGTTGTCTAGGCCATAGACATGATATAATTATGTGGAGAGTTACTAAAAGGCTGAAAAATAGATTTTGGTCTATTGCTGTATAAACACAATTTTATAAATAGATGGAACATTTTTTGCTTCCATCGCCTAGGTTCAGTTTTCAAAAAAACACTATAAATTTGTTAAATTAAGCTTGTGCTTCCTTAACCCTTGTGTGGTGTTCGGGTCTGTGGGACCCGTTTTCACTTTTTAATAAAAGAAAAATGATATAATTATTTAATTTTTCAAACTGAGACTCACTGGCTTTAGCTCATTTTCTGTGAAGAACATATATCACCCCCCTACACATTTCTATTACATATAAGATGTTCGGGTCCACTGGACCCGGGGCTAATAGAAGTGTGGAAATTGATGTTCTGTGTACCACACACACACGCACACATGCACCCCCACACGTACACACACACTCACACACACACACACACACACACACACACACACACACACACACACACGGCAGGCCTAGACAGGAGGAGGACAGAGTGTAGGTACACAGAACATACCTATATAAATGTGACCTAACAAAGGTAAAGGGCAAATATTAACCATATATATTGTTTATACTGCTTGTAATTGGGATAAGGTAAACATCTGTTCAGTATTTTAACATAAAAGTGTTGATTGTGAGGCATCAAAAGCTACAAAATGCAACGGGTCCATCAGACCCACAAACACTGGCTGAGTAACAACAATATGAACATTACACAAGGGTTAATTAAACAGATCGTTACTATTTAAAAATTCACTGCCTGAGTTTTTAGCTCATATTACATTTATGTTCTAAAGGTACATGCTGCAAATGTGTAGGCACAAAGAAGTAAAACAAGAACTATATATTTTTAAATGTATCTTATAGAATAACATGAATGTACTTTCAATGTCTCAACATTCTCTCTATCAGAAACTGACACTGTATTTTGTTGTTCTTTTACAGACTGGTCCAAGCAGGAGTTCAGGCTCTCTGGGTTGACCCAAACTCCTTCACAGGGGCCATGGTAAAGTACCGTCACACCGTCTATGTTTATACAGTAACTGCTCTAAGTTGTATAACCACCGAGTACAGTCAATAGAATTGAAAACTCTCCATTGATTACATTTCAATTCAGCCCAATTTATCGCAAACAAGTTTGCGTCAGAGGTCACGTAGAGCGGCAGATTAAACCAGACAGATTCCTGTTTCACAGCCTAAAACTTGGGCTGCAACACTGTATCATTGCATAAGCTATGATGGATTGGATACATTGATGGTGTGTTTTGTGTTCTTTTTGGTTAGGATGTTGCTGTGTTTCCAGAGCAGTCCTTAAATTGATTTAAATTGACCCCCAACTAAAGTGTGTACCATTTGCAGTATTTTCCTTTGGTATATATGTTGTGTTCAGTCTGAAGTTGGGACACCTACTCGTTTACCAAAGAAACTACTCACATCCACTGTCATTTTCGGTTTTAAACAGTAACCTTTGTTAGTAGCATCTCCAAAACCATGATTTCCTCTAGAAGGGGTACAATTACAGTAAATTACATTGGGCTGTATATTTCCATGTAGGCAGAGCAGTTGGGGCTGCATTCATTTGTTTTAGGATACAAAACAGATACAAGAAGCAGTGACAGAGTGACAGAAAATTGTCCAAAATTCCCTCAACAGATCACCCACTCACTTGTCACATTTTCTATTTTGACACAGACATTTTCTATGTTTCTGAGAGTGTGCAGATATTATCGCCCTAAATGATAATGCACATGCAAAACTTTGCACATTGTTTCGACAAATTTGAAGCCAAAAGGAAGTTTTTGTTTTTTGTCTTGACATAGTTCACAACAACTACAAGTTTAAATGTGCCTGTATTAATCTACATTTAATAAAGAAATAGAACCATTGAGACATTTGTAGTGCTATGCGACATGCTATGTTGACATGAATCAACTATGCAAAGGACAGTCAAGCCTGAGTTATGAGTATGTGAGAATTAGCCTCATTTTGCATTCACTTTTATACAAACCCAGGTTTCCCATAAATCGTTTTCCCACAAGCTTCTAGTGTTTTCTAGCAATTGAATGCAGGCTGGGAAAAACCTGCATCCAGTTTTGTTGTTCAGTGAATAATCCTGCAGCATTTAGGATCATTCTTTTAAAAAGCAGATTAAACATTCTGTAGATTTTCTGACAAAGACAAAAACTGAAACAACTGGCCAGAGTTTTGGTAGATGGTTACATCATATTTTAGCAGACATGGTCTCACATGAATGGGCAGGTCTAAAGTCCTTTGATGTTAACCAAACAAAGGATATGAAAGGAAAGTATGCCCACACTTATTACAAGAGTTGTGGTGGAGGACAATAAACTTGCAGTTTGACACAACGAGAGGAGAACAGGACACAAGCTGGGGCTTGAACCGCCCCGGCCTGGGTCCCCCTGGAGAAAAGCGTATAATGATGAAAACCCTAAAATTTTTGATCATGATATTTCCCGAAGCGTCAGTACCTGTGTGTTCACAGCGTGATTCTAGTTGGATATGTCATTGTTTGTGTGAGGACAGAAGCAGGATGAGGAGAGAAGGAAGGAAGGAAATATCAAAAACCATATTCACTCAACTACAGGAAAGTGTAGGCTGAGAGTAGCTGATTGTTGTTTTCAAAAGTGACTTTCCATTCAGCAGAAAGTAACAATGTTTCTTTCTGCAGGAGGAGGAGGGGCATAGTAGCCTGGAGTGTATCCAGGCCAATCAGATATTCCCTAAGAAGTCCCCCATTCTAGAGGAAGAAAACATGCAGGTGAGGAGACTGCTGCAGCTGCCACCGCTCCTGTTAAAATCAGTTAACCGGGCCTTGAGTTTGACATGTGATACGTATATGTGAAGTAGAGCTGACACTGATTAAAGGACTTGATGTGGCATTATTTTATGCACACTTTTATGTTGTGTATGAACAAAACAAACATTGAAGATTACCAAGCACACAGATAAGGACATAAAAAAAATTGCTATTATATAATAAATAAAAAAATGTTCTGAAAATATGTTGCTCACACCAACGTTATTATTTATGTGACCACAAATTTGGTTTGATAGTTTAAAAAAAAGTATGAATCCTGAATCCACATTCCTATAGCCTATAACACCATCATTGCCCATGACTTTTGTGACTGCACACTTGTGTTTTTCAACTTCTCATGTTTGTCAGGTGCCCTTTCCTGAGCTGCATGGGGAGTTCACAGAGTATGTGGGCAGAGCTGAGGATGCCATCATCGCCACGTCCAACTACCGCCTGCACATCAAATTTAAAGAGTCCGTCGTTAACGTGAGTATCCTCAGCCGATGAGCTCCATTGTCAAAAAGTGACTGTTATCACATTCAGAATAACTGCACAATCAAGTACAGTGTGTCTGTTTGTATGTTGGAGGCTGTATGAGGGTAATTGTGGTCCAGTGAATGAGCAGAGCTTGGACCATTGTGATGACCAGGATATTCAGAGCTGATCTCTGCACTAGCAGCAGTGCTGTGGCACTCTTCCTTGACCTCTGTCTCTTCTGCTTTCTCTGTACATTATTCATTACCATTATTGCAATTATTTTGACAGAAAAGCATTTAGAGTCTTAATTCAACTCCTTTGTTTTCCCTTTTTTACTTAAGTTGCTCCTTTTCTTTACATTCTTGTTTGTGACTAAACGTTTTCACTTTGTAAGTAAAGTTCTCATTTGCACTTTGTGTGCAGCTTTACTTTTAGTTTGAAATCTAGAAACTTAAGAAACCTATTACTATACTACCATATGAATTCATATATGCACACATGACCATCATAGTCTGTTCCTTATGATCATAATTCTACGAAAAAAGATTATATTTATGCCTGGCACTGAAACTGGGTTGAAATGTGTGTCCACATATTCATGTTTGCTTTTCAGCACCAATTGTGCAAATGTGTCTCTTCCTGTCACAACACATTGTCTGCCTTGCTGTCTGCAAATGGGCCACATGCACATGCTAAGGCCTGAGTTACACTACAGAGGGTCTGGAGGGATTCCATGAGAAAGAAATATCTTTATGTGTCTCAGTTAAGAAACACAGATAAGCCCAAAGGACAGAGAGATGAAGAGAAACAGGGGGAAATGTTTAGCTTTATAGGTTCATTTGTCCAGCAAAAGTTAAGTTTCATTCCAGGAAAAGCAGATAAATAAGTTATTTTGGTTGTTGAGAAAACAACCGAAATGTTTTAAGAAGTTTATGTCTCAAATTGATTTGTTTCAATGTTCATTTGAAATTGTTTTCCTAATTTTATATTTTTTATTTATATTTTTTCGATATAAATAAAAAGTAATTTGTTAAAAAGTTTTGACATTTGTGTTGAAAGAAGTACAAAAAGAACGTGCATTAGCAACCTCTCTTGTGGTAGTTACATCAGTGTTAAATTGTTGTCATACTTGTTATTCTTATAATGTGGTTAGTATCTGGAATATGATTCAGCTAATATAATGGGTTCAGACAGAGGAATAGTCCATTTGGTAGCACTGCCCTGTTGTCAGTGAAAGCAGCACAGTTGTAAAATGATGGCTCAAGTGCTGAAGGTAAACACAGTGTTCTTTCACTTCCCTCTCTATGAAATGTCTTAACCTGTTTTAAATGTTAATAACATTTAGTCATATTATTGTAGAGGAAAAGTTCAGTTCCCCAATGAGAAGAGAAGTTAAGTGTTTAAGAAATGTTGATGTTTTAATATTTATTTTATTTAATGTGTGCATTGTATAGAGTCGTGTTCTCCTTAGATGTATGAAAACATGTTCATGGGGCGTCTGCATCACAAGGCAGTTTTATTTAGAGATCACCGTTCAGGGATGGGTGGTGCTGCAAGAGATTGAGAGTCTGTTAACAGGCAGTTCTGGAATGTTGATGACAGCCAGATCAGGAATGTAGATGAAAAAAATCAGGAATCCATTTGTGGCAGCAGAGTGCTGGAACATCCGGAATTAATTCATCCATCTCAGAGACTGAAAATTGTCGCCCATTATTATGCATCTCTCTGATTGTCTCTCCTTTTTTTTTTGGATAGAGTTGTTGTTGCGAGGTTTCAGTGAGTATCAGCAGACCTGCACGGTGTGGAGTGATTCACTGTAACTGATATATCTGGATATCTGTTGTTTGTACCCGTTTGCCTAACTGTAAATGCTGGACTTAAGTAATTGCGATTGAAAAAAACTATGTGGTGACAAAAAAGCTCTGATAAATGAAAGTCCTTTTTAAACTAATATTGCTGAGACAGATGCTATTACAGAAAAAAACTTCTCAACAGTGGTTACAGTAGAATGATTTTCCTTCTTGATGGTTCTCCACATGAAAGAAAAAAACATGCATGTTTGGAATGCAGACGGGGCATTTACCAATTATAGATGGTGACAGACTAAATTTTATACTTACTTTTTGAAGGATATTTTTAAAAATTGATTTTTATTTTGATTATCTATGGGGAGAATCTAAGGTAATCTTACTTGCATAGACTCAGCGTTTAAACCCAAGCTTGATCTCAAATGGGTTTACCTGCCACATTACATTTGAAGAAACTCCTCAAATTTATAAACTTTTTAGCTTAAGATTGATTTTGTTTTGGAAAAATATTAAACATTTATTTTATCCTAGAAACTCTTTTGCAGATTGTTTTTATGCATTTTTGCTAATTTTATTAACTTTCTGGAGTTTAAAAGCCTTAGAGCCCTGAAGAAGAAAAACACTCCTCCTTAAGTCGGCAATTAAAAAAAAAAAATCAAAACTCTCTTTAAACTTGTCACACTCATTGCACGTAACGTCACATGGCTTGGTATTTATGATGCATGTTTTTGAAATCTTTTGAACTGTGTGTGTGTTTGCGTGCCTGTAACTGGTAGCCTGACCCACCCCTTTCAGTGCAAACACACACTACACTGGCTTATTAGCAGAGCTTAGTGAAAAGTAGCAGAGGTATTGAGTATTTGCGGAAGTCATAGGCATATGACGTCTGTATGGATGTATGATGTTTGATCAATGATAAGACAGTTGTCTGGGTCAAAGGGGAAGAAGTTCAGATGTAAGCTCTATGATATACATATTTCACTTAGGGTTTTTTTGTGTTGCCATAAGAAAATGTAAGAAATAATTTGGGAAGGTTAGGTAGTAGAATCTCTGCATAGCAAGAAATATAGCAATTGGTTTGAATAAATATATTAAAATAATCTAACTTACAGTATTACATAGGAAATCAAGCACCCTATCTTTAAGTTCAGTAATTAAAAGAAGTCCTTCATATAAGTCTCACCTGATAAAGTCATACCACTGCAGTGTTGTCTGCACAATAAGTGTGATTTCTGTGAAATAACCCGTCTTATTGTATATTTATTTAAATAAAAAAATGTAACTTAATTCTGGTTCCATTACTTTTTCATTTATATTATTTCGCAGTTTAAGCATCCTATACCATGAAATTCCTCCACTTTTTATTAAACTCACTGGTTAAATCCTGTGATGTTCCATGACTTTGGCATAAGAAAAATCAATCATTTCAATTCACTTCACTATACTTTCAGAGTGTACTTTTTGGGACAATTCTGTCGCAAAAAAGCAAGGTTTTATACCCCATGGTACACAATGTGGCCAGGCAATTTTAGAATGTTCAGTTTGCAGCTACATTTCCTGTTATGTTTTCTCAACCTGTACTGTAGTTGTGAAAGACATAAGATCATTCAATGTTAGATCAGCGATGCTAAAATATGTGTTTATTAGCCATCCGAGCTACAAACAAAACCACTGTTTTGGTACCTTCAAGGGAGACATAGATTCACTGCCTCCTCATGTAAAGCAATTAACCACTGTCTCTCTGCTCCAGTGTAACAGTGATAAACGTAGCATCAATCACTACATTATATATTAAAGCAGTAAACATTACTTTATTGCACATGTATTGATCTGACTGGTCTCTTTGGAGATAACAGACTCAGAGCTGCTGAGCTTTTGTCTCGTCCTCATCTGCAGCCTAAACTGTTCCTGCTTCAGCTCAGAGGAAATAAACAACACGGGTCTCTCTAATATTACTGCTGACGTTATGTACTTGCACAACTGTGTCATCATTATTAACTTTTATTGCCTATTGTTAATGACAAAGCACTTTCCAAGTAGTTACAGTGTCTTTCCTTTTTCTTATCACATCTCTAGTTATTTTTTGCTTCCATTTATGGTATATCTAGTCTCTCGTATCATATTTGCTGAAGACAAAATTACATTTTAATTATATAACAACTTTAATTGATACTCATTTACCTGTATAGTAGAACAGTGAATGTAAATGAAGGGTTTGGATACTTTCCAATTCACATTTGGATGGATCAACATAGTAGTATAAAAGTTCATGTAACGGATTATACGCATGACGTTCCCTTCAGTTTTAAACTACCTTTATTTACTTTAACAACACTGGTTTTCACTAAGTATGTCTAACTCAGTCTAGTGACTGCATGGGTTTGTTTGCAATGTTGTTGAAGCTACATCTACAAAATAAAATTGCCATAATCTTTTTTAAAACTATTCAGTTTTTGCAGGTTACTCATAACTGATTATCCAACCAGGATGCAAATGTTGATATGGCCCCTGCTGCCAGACACTACTAAAAACATTTTTTTCTATTTTGGTTTCAATAAATATATAATATTTATAATATATTACTATGTAATACAGTATTTTGTGTCACTTAATATGTATAATATTAAACTAAGCATACGGGTGCTACTGTAGATTCATGATCTACAGTGATTCATGATTCATGATCATGATCTATGATGTGTGTTTGTGGGAATAATCTCTGTCTTCTATTTTCTTTGAAGGTTCCCCTACAGCTTATAGAAAGTGTGGAGTGCAGGGATATGTTCCAGCTCCATGTTACTTGTAAGGACTGCAAAGTAGTCAGGTACGTCGAAGTTCAGAAAGCGCATTAACTTGGTTCACAAAAAATAAATAATCCACTGTTCTGGTGTGTCATGTCAGATATCTCACAGTATGTAATTTACTATATCAGGAAATGTGTGTCATACTTTAGTGCTTACAATTAGACAGGTATTTATTTAACTCCCGGGTATCACAAGGTTTCTACAACCACTCTTGCAACATTAGAATATTTCGATGCCTGATGGAACTTTAACCCATACTTTTGTTCCTTTGTTGCATTTTCAGGTGTCAGTTTTCCACATTTGAGCAGTGTCAGGAATGGCTAAAACGCCTCAGTGTTGTGGTCCGTCCCCCATCCCGCCTAGAGGACCTCTTCTCCTTCGCCTTTCACGCTTGGTGCATGGAGGTATATGCTGGTGAGAAGGAGCAGCACGGCGAGCTGTGCAGACCAGGTGTGGTACTATTCTCTCATGTCCCTGTGTAATCCCACAGAGGCCCAGCTCTGCATTGCTGTCATCTTATCAGACATCTCTGCTCTCTCTGCAGGTGAACATGTGACCTCCTGGTTCAAGAACGAGGTGGAGAGGATGAGCTTTGACACTCAAAACGCCTGGAGGATATCAGACATCAACAGCAAGTTCAGGTAAAAACAGATTTTCATGCAGGATACGTGACCTGCCGCTGTGTTGATTTTCATCACTCTGAGTGTGAATAGGATCTGTCTTTTGCTTTCATTGCCTGGTGTGTGTGTGTGTGTGTGTGTGTGTGTGTGTGTTGGGTGTCTACTGTTTGTGTATGTATTAGACAGCGGGTAGCAGTGTGTAATATACACCCTCAGTGCTCTGCCTGGGTACGAAAGAGTCAGATCTAGGATTAGGTATCTGTGAAAAGTTTGTAGAACCATTAGCCCCCAATTTCACCCAGGTTCTACCTCCCTCTCTATGTCTATGTCTCTCTCACTCTTAAATATTCTCTCACTCTCTCTCACTCTGCCCCTATGCTCTCTATATATCTTTTCTTGTTGTGTTAACGTACTACTCTTCCTGCACTCTTTATCTGCTCTGCCAGACTTTGCCCCAGCTATCCTCAGCAGCTCTTGGTGCCAGCCTGGATCACTGACAAGGAGTTGGAAAATGTGGCAGCCTTCCGATCCTGGAAGAGGTTTCCTGCTGTGGTTTATAGGTTGGTGTTTTTTTTTTCCTCCCTCAGCTCTACCAATCAGAGGCCTAGCTGTTTTACCACCCCCGACTGACGAATACAATAATTTCTTTGCTGATTTTATTGAACAATTTGCTCTCAAATATCTAAACTAGTTTCCTCTAAAAAAACAAACTTCTTCTGGGCAGTTTTTCTTGATTTGTTTCTAATCATGATGCGTCACCACTGCCCATACTACAGACTTAACTTTAGAAAATGTGGTTTTATTTTTTCAATACAATGCTTCTCACACGAAGGGTAAAATGTACTTTGTAACAAGAGCTTATTTTATATAGAAATGTAAGATAAATGTTGTTCTACAAAGATTACAGCTACAGATTTAGGTTTATATGAAATAACAATGTAACCGCTTATTCTAGTAAAAAGGTAAAGCCATTCTAACAGCACCATTAGCATTGCCAACACAGGCTTGGATAAGACTTACTGTAAGATTATGATTATGTCACTAAAGGACCAACATGTGGCTGTGAACAGAGTGACTATATATTTGCTTCCCGGCCCACTCATCATACAGGCACATCACCACAGGGGCTGTCATCGCCCGCTGTGGCCAACCTGAGGTCAGCTGGTGGGGCTGGAGGAATGCAGATGACGAGCATCTGGTCCAGTCCATCGCCAAGGCCTGTGCCGTGGACAGTAGTCCCCACAAACATGTCCAGAACAGCAGCTACACCAATGGCTCAGATCTGCCTGACACAGAATTTGGTGAGAGCTCATTACCCCAACCCACTCAACACCCATACACACAAACACACACACACCTGCCTTCACACTCACATAAACACATTTTTTTCATACCAGTTTTTGTCATCAGACAGTGCAGCAGACAGTTTTGTGCAATCCAATGTGTTGTGACCTGTCTGGGGTTCACAGAGTTTTGACTAACAAACATTTGCCACTGTTGGATGAGTCTGAGTGGTATTTACATGAGGTTTTGTGGTGTTTTTTAAACCACTAACAATAACATTTTTGCTAAAACCATCCATGAATGAATTTTACAGTCTTTGTCTTGTCTTGTGTTTGTATCAGAATCCTCCATGACCAACAGCACTGAGGTGGAGACACTGGTCATCCAGCCTCACAAGTTACTTATTTTGGACGCCAGGTCTTATGCTGCTGCTGTTGCAAACAGGGCCAAGGGGGGAGGCTGTGAATGTCCAGGTACATCCTACCAAAGAAGGCATATACTGTATAACAAATGGACAAATGTAACCAAACTATGGTTGTCAGGTGAAATCTGAAGAGCTGTACCTGTTATTAAAGCAACTAGGCCTAAACAAAAGTCTTTCTTGGTGATTTTATACTCTTGATCATAGGATTGTGTATGACAGTCCAAAATTTTAAATCACACCTGTAACTGACACTTTTGTATTGTACTACATAACTATCACTTTATATAGGCTAGGTTTTGATGGTATAGCTTACAAGTGCACAAAGTTGTTTATAGGTGCGTCAGTTCTGCCATGTCTTTACATACTGTATAAATAAACACACTGACATTCAGGCTAATGTAATCTGTAATTATTACCTTTTCTCTTTTTTTCTAATGTTACATGTTAATGTGTTAATTTACTGTTAATACTATTGATTTGGTCCTGTTACAGAATACTATCCCAATTGTGAGGTGGTGTTCATGGGCATGGCCAACATTCACTCAATCCGCAAGAGTTTCCAATCTCTACGTTTCCTCTGCACCCAGATGCCTGATCCAGCCAAGTATGTTTTTTATTTTTTCTGTGCCTCCAGCAGAGCCTTCATCCTCCACCCCTCATAACTCCACAGCTGTGCTGGCTCAAACTATTAAATGCAAATCTCTGGTGCTTTCTGTTGTAATTGTAGGTAACTCATAGTCACAGCTGCCTTTAAACTTGGCTATACATGTGTGACTGATTTAGAAGAAGTTGGCCCAATGTCTAGAGGAGGATCCTTCTGCTGTTCCAGCCCTTATGTCACAATTATGTGTAATTCAATCTCTGGTTTAAGAGAAAATATTGCAAGTGGACGAAAAAAACCCTCCTTCCTCTCAGGCTCATATAGCTCATACAGTGGTATGATGTCATACGCCTGATCTGCCTTGTAGTGAGTTTTTTTTTAACAGACTTAATTATGTTTGTGTATAGAACACACTTGTCTGCTTGGAACATTAACCTAGATTAGATTAGACCAGTGAAACATTAACTCATTGTGAAAGTAGGTCAAGACGCCTGTCTGTCTAACTCAGCTGTGTGCTGTGTTAAATTGTTACGTAAAGGTCACCGTAACGGACCCAGACCGGGTTTATAAGGTGAAGGTCTCCTTACATCACTTCACTAATACCAAACTTATATTCCCATTTTAGAAATTGGTTATAAAAGCATGAAGCAACAATCCTAAGCAGGCATGAATGCATTCTACAGGGTAGTTTCTTTATATTTCATTACTACAGTAATATGCTAACTTCTTTGTATCCACTGCCAACTTTTGTTCTATTGTACTATTATTAGGGGGCAGTGGTGGCTTAGTGGTTAAGGAAGCGGACTTTGGTCCAAAAGGCTTCGAGTCCACCAGCTGCCAAGTTACCACTGAGGTTATCTGAGCATGGCACTGTGCCCACACACTACTGCCCCCTGCTGACTTTAGTGATGGGTTAAAAGCAGAGGTCACATTTGGTTGTGTGCAAGGGTGTGCTGTGTCACAATAACAAGTAGTTCACTTTCACTATGAGCAAACCACAATCATTTTATTTTGTATCAGGTCTCATCAGTAACTGCTTTGGGCAAGGAGTACTAAGCATTGCTGTTTGCTGTGTTTTCTTTTGAGTTTGTCAGATTCTTGATGAAGGTGATCCCTGGGGAAGATCTGTTCCAGCAACTGTTTGTTACATATTTGTGAACAAATTGTCAAATGAATATAAGGTTGACTTATTTTTACTTATTTTTTTGCTTTTAGCTGGCTTTCTGCACTGGAGAGCACCAAGTGGCTGCAGCATCTGTCTCTGCTGCTAAAAGCAGCATTGCTTGTGGTCAATGCCGTAGATCGAGACCACAGACCTGTCCTAGTACACTGCTCTGATGGCTGGGACCGCACACCCCAAATCGTTGCTTTGTCCAAACTACTGCTAGACCCTTATTATCGCACCGTTGAGGTAAAGAGAAAGTAATGACACAAACTTTATGTTTGCTGTGCATTAAAAAGGACTAATAAAATGCAAAACTACAATAGAATGAACTGAAGTTTAGTTTGTAATCTCCTGTGCCATCTTTGCACAGGGCTTTCAGGTTTTGGTGGAAACAGATTGGTTGGACTTTGGTCACAAGTTTGCAGACCGCTGTGGCCATGGAGAAAACTCAGAGGATCTGAATGAGCGCTGCCCTGTGTTCCTACAGTGGCTGGACTGTGTTCACCAGCTTCAGAGGCAGTTTCCTTGTTCCTTTGAGTTTAATGAGGCTTTTCTGGTGAGTAACGGTGGTGAAAATTAAACACCATCATTATAAAGTTCTCCTCTCAGATTCTAAGATTAGGCACTAAAAACATGTTTACGTGTAAAGAAATCATGTTGTCATGAAGATTTTCAGGCTGAGATACCAATAAGTAAAGTTTTGGAGTGTTCCTCAAAAATCTTTTGTCATTTGCTCCATGTCTGCACATGTACTTACATGTTTTCTTGTGTGTGTGTCTGTGTGATTGCACAGGTGAAGCTAGTTCAGCACACCTACTCCTGTCTCTTTGGCACTTTTTTGTGCAACAGTGGCAAAGAGAGGGAGGATCGTCATGTCCAGGAGAGGACCTGCTCTGTCTGGTCACTGCTGAGGCCGGCCAACCGCACGCTGAGAAACATGCTGTACTCCTCACACTCGGAAACCGTACGTCTGCTGTTTTTGAAACATGCTCGAGACCAATGAGGTGTGGTTTAAGACATACAGTTGAGTGACGTCCAGCCAAACAAAGGACAGAAAACAAGTACCAGTGAATTAGATTAAGAAAACAAAGTCAAGCCTCCTGCAGTCTGGAAGTGTTAAAATAATCATTGGAAGTACAAATTTTAAAGCATTGTGTATTTCATAATATCTTCTATTATGTTACTGCTCTCCCAAGAGTTTCTTGCTGTGTTTGGAAATCTTTTGATCTCTGTGTGTGTGCGTGGCCCTTAGTTGTTTTTAACTTAACCAGAAAATAATTCCATCACAGCAGCTTTTAATCAAATCTTATTTATTTGTCATCAATGTAGGGACAGGCTTAGTTTCTCTGCATCTTATATAAATCTTTGTTTTATGTACAACCCTATAGATCTGGATACATTTGTCATCGACAAGACTTTTCAGGAACAGTAGTCTTTGGGATGGCACTAAAAAATCAGATTGTTGATTACTTTCAGTAAAGTTTTACGCAAAATGTCTTTTCTGCATTAATCCAAAGGCTCTCTTTAGAATGTTGACTGACTTCTGAAAGGTGACAGACTCTTGATGTGTATAAAAAAACCCTTTCCAAAAATTACAAAAAGAGTGTTTCAGTCTTAGGGAAATCAAAAATAAAAAGTTGAAAAGAAAAAAAAACACCTTAAATTGTTTTAATTGTCATAAACTGTATCTTAAAAGGTCTTCCAAGAAAAATAGACAAGGAATCTAGGAAAGATCAAAGACACGATCTGACAGTTGAATCTTCTATTATTCACAAAAGCCCTGTCAGAGAGAAATCTAACCTAAAGGGTTTCAACAGAGACAAAAAAGTAAACACTGAAAGGTAGTTAGGTTCCTGATCCATCTTGTCATTTGATGTTCATGTTCATTATGTTCCTACTTTTACAAGTTATAATTAATATTGCAAGCATAAAGGGCAAATAAAATGCAAATGCATTTTAAACTATTTATTTTTGTCCCATTTAGTGGTTAAAATAACTCACTACTGTATTTGTATTCTAAATGAGAATGACTAAAGTCTGAAGGTATTTTTTGCAGGTTCTCCACCCAGTCTGCCATGTGCGCAACCTGATGCTTTGGTCAGCTGTCTATCTGCCTAGCTCCTCCCCCACCACTCCCTCAGATGATTCCTGTGCCCCCTACCCTGTGCCGGGTTCCAACTCGGAGGACACTCCACTGGCCAGGTTAGCCTGATGTGTCTCACCTGAGCACCCATTCTTCATTCCACATGTAAGACAATCACAGGTTGGAGGACGCCTACAGCTGAAGACGCCTGGCTTTTCAACTCATCTGCTCTCACTTATGCTCACTATATGCTTTGCTGTGTTCCAGTCATCTCTCACACACAATTTTATTCTCTTTTTCATCTCAAACTTTGTTGTAACTTTGTTGCGATATCTGTTAGTCACAATGCTTCACTCTTGTTTCTTGTGTGGTTAAGACTAACATGAAAGATAGATTGAAAGCACAACATTTAATGTGACTAAGTTGGGTCTCTTTGTGCATTGTAAATACAGTTTATCCTGTTCATTCTGCCTTGATTCTTTCACAGATGTACAAAGACTCGCTCCTTTGACAACCTGCCCAGTGCCTGTGAGTTAGGACAATCCATGGCTCCGAACCGTCGCTCCAGTGACCCGAACCTCAATGAGAAGTGGCAGGACCACCGGCGCTCTCTGGAAATAAATATTGCAGTCGGGCCTGATGGAGAGGGGAACCAGGATCAGGAGATGCTGTCTAATGGAGCAGGGCCGTATACAGACATGGTGGACTCTGAACTGGACGAGAGCCTGGAGCAAAAGAGCTCAAACACAGAATTGGAACACAAAGCCTCTTTGAGCCCTGAGTCATTGGGAGAGGAAGAAGAGGAAGCAGAGCTGTCTGTGGCAGTAGGCGTGGCTGAGGGCCAAATGGAGAACATTCTTCAGGAAGCCACAAAAGACGAGGTGGCAGCAGATCAGAGAGAAGACTGTTTTACTGCTGCTGATGTTGTAACCGCTGTTGACAAAGAGTCCGGAAGAGATGAGAAAGTTGGAGAGGAACAGGAGTCTACTAAAGTCAATGGATCTGAGATTCTGACCAAATCAGTTCTTAATGGTCACCATCCAGAAAGTGACCTCACAGATGGTGCAAAGGACAAAGAAGCTACTGTTCTGCCTCCTTTAGCCTCAGAAAGAGCTGAGAAACCTGATAATCAAACAGGCCATGTGACTCAGACATCAGAGGAAGAGGTGACACAAGCTGCTGAGAACTCCAGTGTGGAAGAGGAGGTAGAACATGGACCTAGTGAGTCAGATTCAGGTGAGCACGAGCAGCCTGCAGCTCACAGAACTATAACTAATGGCTTTGTGGACACGCCGCCTGAAGGGCTGGGCCAGGACCAGGAGGAGATGTGTCCTGACTGTGAACCTGACCACGGCATCGCTGAGCCAATGGATAAGAGAGTTTCAGTTTTGGAGAGCTCCACAGAGACTTTAACTGAAGAAGCATGCAGCAGGTTGGAGCACGTCACACAGCCTCCCAGTCTATTGAGCCGACCTCCCTGCAGAGACGGCAGGAGTCAGCCGCCCTGCTCCAGGAGAGAGAGGACATTAGACACAAGTGAGCACAACTTAGGCAGAACTTTAAACGGGGGCACCAAGAGACCCCCATTTGGTGCCTATAAGTCTCCAAGTGCTGACCTCGGCAGGGATGGCCTTTGTAATGGAGAGAACTCTGAAGGTGAACCCGGTGGAGCTCCTCACTGGGCTGCAGGAAATGTAGAGAGGGCATCATTGAGTCGACAGATGTCCCTGGCGAGCTGTAACTCACTCATTCTCCACCAACGGTGCAGTTGCTCCCAACATCGCTGGTGCCACAACATGATGAGCCGGGTGTCCATCAATCCTGAACAGCCTTCACGCAGTCACCTGGACGATGATGGGTTGACACTGCATACTGATGCCATTCAACAGAGACTGAGGCAGATTGAGGTAGGGCACCAGATGGAGGTGGATACTCTGAAGAAACAGGTGCAGGAGCTATGGAGCCGCCTTGAGATTCAGCAAAACACAGGATCTCAAAGAATCAATGGAGACATGGGAGACGAAGTGGTAAGATGCGGACAAGTAGAATATTAATGAAATATCTCGTTTCTGGGAGTATGTGCTGATTCTTTCTTTTTCTCTACATGAAGACTTCAATGACAGACTCTGAGTACAACCTGGACCCCAACTGTTTGTCGCGCTGCAGCACAGAGCTCTTCTCGGAGGCAAGCTGGGAGCAGGTGGACAAGCAGGACACTGAGGTCAGCAGATGGACTTACTATACAACATTATTAGGGGCAAAAGGAACAAAGCTCTCAAAATAGGGTGTGTTCCATTGCAGGTCACTCGCTGGTACCCTGACCATTTAGCAGCTCAGTGTTATGGCTGTGAGAGCAGGTTCTGGCTCGCCACCAGGAAACATCACTGCAGGTAAAGAGTGAGGACCAGGAGGCTGATCACTGTTAGAAACAAGTCCTCAATTTAACGAGTTTGTGATTCCACTCATGTACATGTAGCCAGTGTGAATTAGCCTAGAGTTTAATTTTAATTGATTTTTTTTGGTTTGAACTTTTATACCATATGAACTATGTAAGAAAGAACCAGACCAGGCACTGACCAGTCAGAGGTTAGCTTTGGTTATCAGTTAGAGCATTACTACAGTAAAATATTTTGGCCTACACCACAATTTTTTTTTCCCATTATTTATTTATTTTTTCCTTATTCTATCAACTGCTACTTCATTCTGTGGTTTATCCATTTCACAGCTGTCTTATATTTTTATTTGGAATTTTGCTCGTGTCGATTCCATCAAAGTATACACCAGTGTAGGAATGCAGACATTTTTAAACCTTTTTAAATTAGATTTAAACTTGTATCTAATGTTTTTCTATACGTATGAAACACTAGTGGTCAGCAAAGAGTTTGTTACTGTTTGTTTTTATTTTTATTTTCATTGTTCAGACAGTTCTTATCCATTCTCTGCCCCTCTCCTCCTCTACAGTGGCAAAGAGCCTGTCCAGGAGCTCTGGTGAGATCCGGCTCCTCCCCGCCACCCTCCCCACCCCCCCACTACCCCACGCCCCAAGCACCTGCCCTCCACCCCTAGTCTTACCATGTCTTTCCCTTGGCATACAACCCACCACCCATGGTTCCCCATTAATGTGTTTTAGGTGTCAGCTCAAATTTAATGGAAATCTGTTTTTTAATGCATTCACTAAAGTGCGTTTTCATTCACCTATTTTAGTGGTGGACACTGTGAGCAGGGTGCTGCTAGATAGTCCTCTATCCATGTCTAAATAAACTTGAAATACTTAAAATATCCATATAAGAATTTATCTATATATTTATTTTACTATCTACTCTGCTCCTATGTCAACACTTTCTTTTCAATATCCTTTATATAAGTCCTGGCAGCATGTTGCCCCAGCTCTGTGCATCGTTCCACCCAGCATCACAGCAGCATGGTCCTGAATGTCCCTCCTTCCTCTGACTGGTGTGGACAGCAGGAAAATTTAGAAAGAATCAAATATTTGCTTTTTTTGTCTTAATAACGGACATACAGTTACTGCATTTTTACATTTGTACTTGTTATTCACTAAAGTGTGTTACATATATAGTAACTCACAGCATGGATTTTTGCGGCTTTCATTGTGACCACATGTCCACTGGTGGAAACCTGTGAGTGTCCAAACACCTGTGCTTAACTCTGTGTTTAAAAAAAAAACATCTGGGAAACTGACACAGAACAATCATTCAAGTGTCCAAACAATTAATGATTTTGAGAAGATGCCGTGTCAATGCCAGGAACACCAGTGATGCCTCACTGCCCTAAGAAAAAGTTGGGTTGCAGCACTTCACACAGATGAAGATGTCTGACACGGAAACACAGTGAAGGTGTCATAATGTCACCTCTGTAGGTGAAAAAGAGAATTGCAACACCAGCAGTTTATATACACTAGGAGTGCACTGGCCCACAACAGATTCAGTGTTTAAGTGTAACAAAGCCACGTGTTAAACCTCAGCACTGATCGGTCTTGTGTCCCCCTGCAGGAACTGTGGTAACGTCTTCTGTGCCAGCTGTTGTGACCAGAAGATCCCAGTGCCAAGTCAGCAGCTGTTTGAGCCCAGCCGCGTCTGCAAGAGCTGCTATGGCAGCCTCCACCTCGGTTCAGTTCCACTGGACCTGGAGAAACCCATCGCAGCCAGCTCCAACTGAGACCCCGTAGGACGAGGCAGGCTGGCACAAAGTCCAGTTGCTGACACAGACGCACTGCTGAAGGAGGGAACAGCAGCTCTACACATGGCCCCATGTACTTTGTGTGTTTGTGTGAGTGCACAGCTGACATGGATTACTGCAGTGTGTGTATATACAGAAGAGGATGCAGCCATGGTGGACCTGAGTGATGTGTTTTGCCAGATGCTGAGCACTCCAAACAGCCGGTGTACACAGAAATGATGTGTGTGTGAGTGTGTGTAGGTTTGTGTGTTTGTGTATCTATTGCACATTTACCACACAAAGGTCAGTCTGAGGCAGTGATAGGACTGCAGTCCAGAACCAATGAGGATGGACATCCTGGCATCTTGGACCAGGCAGAGGAAGACAAAGATTTTGTTTTCACTGGATCCATGTTTGTCTCCTTTTTCTTTTAACAGTTCTTTGCATTTTTTCATTTTTTTTTTTTAATTTTTTTCTAAGGTTGTACTAGGTCAGAAACTCCCAACCAAGTCTAGACAGTGATAGTCATCAATGTTGAGAAGCATGAAGGGTCAGTTCACCCAAATTATCATTTTAAACATTGCAACAAATGTAGTTTTATACACATACTTGCATTTTATTTATAAACAACGTACGTACGTATAAGCAACAACTAAAGACCAGACAAAAACATGACGACAATGCAATTTCTTTATGCAAACAAATGCAGTATTGTTGTTGATATGTTGATGTTAAATGAATGAACTGACCCTTTTTTTTTCAACTTGTGCTTTTGCTTGTTTTTTGTTGTTTATTGAAATCACACTTTCACACCCATGTATGTAAATTTGTGTTTTTATATACTGTATCCACAGAACTGTGCAAAAGTTTTGGGACTTCATATCTTGTTTTTGAGATGCACTTAAAATACAGTAAAGTGTCTACAAGCAAAGGGGTTGTTAACAGGCGTTATTGTCTGTCTTGTCATCCTTTAGCACCAAACCTTTTTCCTTGAGAATTTGTTTAAAAGACTGCATCCTTTCATGTGATTGCCCCAAAATGACACAATTAAATGAATACTTATTTTGTCTTAAACAGAGCTACACTACAACCAAATAGTTTTGGCGCTATAAGGTGCAACTTATTTGCATGAATACAAACACTGTTGGTTTTAGTTTTGGGTCAGATCCAAGGCTACCTGTTCCTTTGACAGTGAAGTACTCTCACCTATGACAGTAAGTACTGTCTTCAGTGTTGCAGAAATTTGTAAATCAGAGGTGAACAAAGCTTTTGCACAGTATTGTGTACAGATGTATATTTACAGTACACACAGGAAGTTTGTCCTTTTCTGAGATATTGCTTGGACATGGTTGATGCCTGCTGTCCCAGATATTCATTCTTTTGTTTAAAGAATTACAGAAAACAGTCCACCATGTTGGTTTTTAGTGCAGAAGATGTGATTCAGCTTTACTGAGCTTGAGGGAAGGTGAACAGAAAGTGACATCCTTACAGAAGGTTCTCTACATTGACTGACTGTAACACACCTTCATGGCCTTCACACACAACAGCCTCCCTTTATTTTTTACTAATTCCTTTACCCAGCAGGCACTGGGAGCTGATCATGTCCTCTCTCTTTAATTCTAAGTGAGTATAAAATTAACAGTACGGCCTTGAACTTAAATTTATTTTTTTTATTATCATTATTAGTCTTGAGGAGGCTGCCAGTCAGCAGTGACCGCTCCTCTGATCTCTGCTCTGATTGGCTGGACAGGGGCAGAGCGCACCGGCAGTAGATAGAGTTGAGTTTTAGAAAAGCCTAAGTAAGACCCTGACTCCCATTCACTGACCACACACACACACTAATTCCCATCTCACACACGCAAACACACACACATTCTTTGTTTTGTAAAATAAATGAATGAAATAATATATTGAGATACGTATATAGCATTAAAGATAAAATGTATAGAATCCTTGAATAGTGGCTCACCTAATTAGTCACCAGAAAGCTGTGTTATTTTTTTCTTCTTTTGTTAAATGTTTTTTTTTTTAATGTTGTCAGTTGCAGAAGAAAACATATTTTGCTGCCTGTTGAAGAATGACAGGCATGTTCTTTTTTTCTAACAGAAGCAGGGTGTCCTGTGTTGATGCTGCAGTGTTTTCCCTTTTAAAACAGACATGACTTTGGTTTAATTTATTAAGGTTTCAATGTCAAATTGCTGTTCTTTTTTGTTTTGTTTCTTTTCTTTTTAAATCCAGACAATTCAGAAGTGCCCCCAGAATATTTCTGGTGTCTGTGAGCTGGAGAGCAGAAGGTGGTTAAGATCTGTGGCTGCAGAAGTCTCATTGCTTGTTTTGTAACAGAAACAAAAGAAACGTATTTTGGAATCCACAAGAAAGTAACAAACAAGAGACAAGGATGGAGGCTATGATGTCAGAGGTGTGGTCCAGGCTGTAGACGGTATGAAAGTGAAAGAAGTGAATTTCTCTACTGGTGACAGTAATCTAATATTTCTTCTGTAATACTCTCAGAAAAGGTTTTTATAATGAGTTTTAGGTATTTTCAAGATAAAATACTCCCTTACTCCCACCATTTTCTTTCTCCTAAAACACATTTCTAGAATGAACATTGACAAAACCCATAAACTGTGCCTAATTTCATAAAGTATAACATTTTAAATTTTAATTTTGTTCTTTCTGGGTGTGAAAAAATGCTTTACTGCAAAGTCTGCCCTGTAAAACTTCACGAGGAGAGACGACCTATACGATTGATTAGAATAAAATGAATGTTAATGTAAGTCAAATTTTTTAAGTTAAATTATAAAATCTATAAAGACTAAAGAAGATAAACATTTAAGAAAAGGTGTTATTAGAAATGCAAAGGATTCCTTTATTGCCATTAAGTTTTTGGACTGAATAGCTACTTCTTCATCTTTTATATATAGTCTACAGTCTGACCTCCACCTCTGCACATTCACATGTTCAAAGAAAACAATAAGGACAATAAATGCTGTGTCTACAGCCAACAAGATGTCTATGCACCAAGGGGAAGCACCCAAAATAATAAAAAAAAACTTCAAAACAAACTTCAAAATATCCCCTCACTGCTCCCCTGAAACACCTGCACACAGAATTACTCCATTCTAAACAAATCACTACCTCTATTGTGTACATACACTCATTTCACGTCAGAACAGATTTGTGTTGAACTTGTTTTCCCAGTTGATATGAAGTATTAAAGTTTCCATTTACTTTAATCACTTCAACACTTCAAGGCCTAAAACATAGTTGTTTTTTACTTGGAGATTTTTATGAATTATCACTATTGGCAACACAATTGGCTATTCAAATTACAAAAAGTATCTCTGCTTCTAACAACAAATAAAAGCAACCTCTGCTGTTCCTAATCCATCCACTATCTAGATTGATGCATATTTTCCAGAAAGTTTGTATAAATATGTCTTTTAAATCTTTTAAAGATTTAATCCAAAACACTGAGGTTCAGAGGTGCTTTTTCTCTCATAGTCAGGAAGCTATCACTTAAATGAACGATCTTCACCTTTAAATACACTGATAGCTGATTCTTTAAGAGCTTAATCAGCAGCCTCATCTGCTCTGAGATAAACTGGACCACAGATCTGAAACTGAATACTGACGCACAACAACTAAACCTGGCCATAACTCTCAGATCAGCCCCGCTGGTCATAGGCCTCCAATAGTTTGCCAACACACAGTTTTCATCTCTACATAAATGGACTATCAATCATGTACAGTGAGTCTGATGCTGTTTTCCTCCAACTACTCCCAGTCCTGACAGACAGATGGCAGCAGAAACGTCACTATGTGGTTTCACCGTCATCACCACTGTCACAGACTTTGACCAAAACCAAGCTTTTCGTGTTCAACAATCCATGAATGTGAATTGTCTTTGAGAAAGCAAACCTAATGGAAAAAAAAATAAGGCTATTTTTGCACACAATATCCCAAGACACTGCCACAGAGTGCGATAAAATAAAGCTGATATGAAAAGTGCTGTGCTTTATATTGTTACATATATACATCTATAAAAACGTTATATGCCCTATTATCTGTGTTAATTATGAGTGATGTTTAATCAGATTAACGTTAAAAGGGCGTTTTCTCTTTTGACAAGACGATCAGATTCACACTTGGTGTTTCCAAACCTCAGTTGAGGAAGGAATGCTGGTCAGCTGCTACGAGTCGACTTCTGCTGATATTGAAGCATCCAGGGACCAACAGTTCGTTCCTACTGCTCTAGGAGCAAGAACCGTCGAGAAAGAAGTTTCTTCAATGCTCTTCAGGGTCATTCAAAACTGTACTCCAGCATTTCCAACTATAACAGTAACATGGTACTTGTCTGAACAACAGACTGAAGACTAATTTGTGTCAAAAATACACAGTAGTGTTTTGTTGGCTTCTGGTTGCGCAGCACTTGATCTGTGTTGGATAGTATTGAGTGACCAACAAAACCAGCCTTTAAACTGTTTAGTCGTTGTCAGCAGTTTATTTATACATTAGGTGACTGCACCAAACAGACAAAACAGTCAAAACTGTCAAATGGTTTCAGTTGTTTTAATGCATGTAACTTGGTATACAACATTGAAAATCAACACCAACATCAAAATCTACTAATTGAATGCAAATTCCATTGGATAAATGACAAAACAGGAGCAAAGAAGAGAAAGTCGAGATTGAAAAGTTGCTCTACATTAGTCATGCTCTGCCCGATGTGACAAATGGAGAATTTGGTCAGCTCCAAAGAAACGATGCTAAGCGGTGACGACCCCTGACAACTATTTAGACTTTTAAACCACTGCACAGAAACAGGACATAATTTCTACCATAGTCAGCAGCAGCAGAGTTAGAGCAAGCTGAGGCAGCGTCCCCTGAGGCCGGACCGTGCAACGTCCCGCATCAGTGACAGAGCAGCAAATTTTCTTCTTTTTTGCCTTAAAGAAAAAAACAACACGAGAAACACTTGGAGCAAAAAACATTGCTTAATAATTGCTTTGTGCAAAGTGAGGCCAGACGACGATTGTCAGTGAAGCAATCATGTGGAGAAACATATTTAAAGATGAATGGAATCAAACATCTGATACCAAGAAAAAAGACTGGTCAGGCAAGAAGGAGATTTTTAACTCCTGTTCAAATCCAATCTCATGTGCAAAGTGTTTCTTTCCCAGAGTCTGTCTCTATGATCTTCTGAACACTTTCAGATTCCTGATGACGTCATCAGGAATCTCATCTGTTTCTCATCCACTGACATTATCATTCTGTCCCTGCGGCATCAGATTAGAAACTCATTTTTAATAAAAAATAGACATGGCTTCACCAGCCCACTATGCCCTTTATCTATAAAAACCACAGAGCCCTATTTACATCTTAGACAACTGTATATTATAAAGTAGATGCTCCTTATCTGTAGATCAACTCATGTTCCCTGCCAACGATCCCAGTAAAGAAACGACTCAAAAACAGCCGATTGTCCCAGGAGACATTTCATACAGCAAGTTTGAAGCCGTTCAGAGAGGAACCCTGTCTGCACTATGTACAGGCAATGAGGCTGAGAGTCAGCCTGAGGTTTGTGTGTGTGTGTGTGTGTGTGAATGTATGTGTGTGTGTGTAAAGGTCGAGCTTGTCATGAAAATTTGTCATAAGCAGAAATGGGTTCACACAGATGACTGGTCCCAAACCTAACGACACAAGAAAAGAAGGTCAGATGACACATGATACTGAGTCAACAACACGTACAAGCAAATGTGTCTGTGCGTGCGTGCCTTTACCTTATTTACAGGAGCCAACTGTGTTCTGACGGAGCCAGCATGGAGACGCGTGCTCTCCCCAAATCTCCCAGGTGACCTCTCCCTACGACTGTCCAACACCCGGCCGGGTGACTTCTCTCTTTCCAGCGGTCGGGCAGGAGATTTGTCCCGTCTGAATTCCGTCCTTCCCTCGCGGTAGCGGTGGGGAGTGCTGGGCTCCCGATGAAGACCGTCATGGCTGCCAGGTCCAGAGGTCAAACGCTTGGTGATGTGCTCGGTGTAGGTGGGCGGGCATCGCTTGGTAGGACTGCTGTGTAAAGGCAGAGCAAAGGATAGCAGGTCAGTACAACGTGCAGCCAGTTATTGAGCGTTAATTAGTGTCATGTGAAAGACCAGAGACAAACTCACTGTCTGAGGGCCACATGTGGCCATAGTCACTCAATCAGTCATTCAATCATAGTGGCCCAGTCTATTGTCATAAGTTTCTACAGTAGAACAAACCACTGATGTAACACCCTGTGTAGCCTAGCAACATGCCTCTCACAAGTATAACCTGTGTGTGAGCTGTGTGCTGTCCAGAGTTAAAATGAAATGATTTTTTTTTTTTAACCAACGTGTTTAATCTGCAGTGAGGTTTTGGAGAAACATTCAAAAAAAAAATTTTTTTTTTCATTTCAATAACATTTCTTTGTACAAATGTGTAACATTTTTGGTCAAATTTTACAATGATATCTGGAGTTTCTTGTGTGTAGTTAATCTTTTTTTTACACCAGACGGTGTTGTTGGACATTTAAGTTGAGCTGCTGTAAAAACTGTTTTTAGGCTTTTTAAGGATTTTCAAACTAGTTAATTTATTTATGGCTGTTTCTTTCTTTTTCTTTTTGGAAGTTTTATTTTTTGTTTCAGCATAAGTATACATTTTCGTACACATATCCTTTCTTTATACAGCAGTTTTTCATAGGATTACAGATAACAGAGAACGCAAAAATGAAGAGGTAAAACATTTTAAATGAAAATAAATAATATTAATAGAAACAAGCATAAAAAGATAAAAGAAATGAATAAAGGAAAAAAAACACAAAAACACAAAAAAGAAAAACTGAAGATTTACAGTATATCCACTCAAAGTACAATAGCATTGACAGCAACACGTGCAACGTTTGTGAGAAGAATTGTGTAAGATATGTGATGGAAGTTTGTTTATGTATAAATATTTATTATAATATTTATTTATAAATCTTATAATAACAGTAATAACATGGCAACCACTAGACTCATCTTTTGGTAACAATAGGTCTTTGGAGTCTATATGAAATATTTCATTTTACTCAAACCTTGTACTCAGTGGCACACCTTCAAGGCCAGCAAGGCCTTATCCTCTGGCCTAAACAGTATCAGGTATACTTGAGTTTTTTTTTATCCAATCATATTTTAACCTCATGTGTTGCCAGGGTGGAAGAAATCTTTGCTAAACCCTTCAGAGTCAGGAGTGAGCATACAGTGAATGACAAAGATTGTTTCTTTAACCGTTGACATTTTGAGTTGGCAAAACCGAGTCATTTTGGCAGGTATTCAGTTACATTGGTGATTTGAGTGATTTAATTCGATGGTCAAAGAACGCACGCTCAAATCTACCAAATTGTATCTATAACAACTTGCACTCTTGAAAATGGAGTTTTCTCTGTGTCCACTGCTTCTGTTGAACAATTATCAGCTAATTTAAACTTATGCCATAAATAAGACAGGACAGACTGGATTTTCAGCATTAGCAATGGATGGAAATAGAAAGAAAGAAAATGCAACTCTTCTTAAGAAAAGAAAGGAGGAGAGATTTATGTACAAATAATCAGAAGATTCAGTGACTAAAATGCATTTTGTCTTTTTGATAATATTGATTTTTTTTATGCTTTCTGATGTACTTTATGTCACATCTGTGGCTAAATTGTGCTTCCTTGTTTTTTTTCTTTAGTAATGGTGATATTGTGGCTACATGTGTTATCCAGGATATAATGATTTGTCATATTACATTTCAACAATTATAATATTGATGATTTCTTTAAACATAATGACATTATTAGGATGTGGATTTGTTTGGTCAGGACACCACTGAAGTCCTAGGGAGAAATTGGCCTGATCTAACGGTACTGCATTTTAATGCTGCTGTGAGCAGTACATTTATTATTTGTGTCTCTTTCTGACTGTAGGGCCGGATGAAACCAACCCTCGGCTGGATCCACTCCTCTGCAGCTCTCCAGACTCTTTGATCAGACTGCCCTTACAGCAGATGACCCTCAATTTGTTCTGATAGGATGAGGCCAAATAAATGGCCCCGGAGGAGATGGCTGGGCCCAGGTAGCGAGGGTTGGGGATGTCCAATTGGGCCAGCACGGTGGGACTGGAAACAGACAGAGTAGTTACTGTAAAATCACCCAGAAATAATGAAAGCATATGAACATGGATGCGGCTTCTTTGCGATGTCTCACCCCAGAGTGGAGTGTCCCTGAACCTCCACCACATCCAGAGAGTTGAAGTAGGTGACAAACAGATATGGCTCTCTGTAAGCTGCACACCAAAAGACATTTGTTATAGGGTTATTACAGAAAACTCAACCGAGTTTAAATGCAGCAGAAATAAGATGAGCCACAAAATTCTCCTACCAAAGGACAGAGGGAGGCGACTCCACTTGATTTCCTCAGTCCGGCTTCTTCGTCCGTACCTGTCCACAAACACTCCAAACTCTGTGGCACAGATAAAATTATTATATTATATTATTATATATGCATTTCATTATTACCTACATTAACCGAACAGGTCTGGTAAAGTTTAATTAGACTCACACTCAGGCTAATCATCACTCAATTGTCTGCTCAGTAATTACCTTTGTTTTTTTTTCTCTACTTTGACATTGAACATTCAACGAGTTTCCTCACACCTACCATGAAAACACAGCAGATACTCTTCTTTCTGCAGGCTGCCTGCCACCTGCATGATGGCGATGGGGAAACTGTGGGACGCAGCTGCAAAGACGGCCGAGGCCAGAGACATGTCGTTCTTATCCAGGAACTCTGCAGAGGACAGAGCAGAGGGTGAGCTGTTATATACCCACATTATCTTAGTGATACTTGGACTACACCGACCTGAAGTTTACACAGAACTTAGTATGTAAAATAGAAAAAGAGAAAATCCTTTTTCAAAATATAATGGAAAAATAACAAAAGGAATATTAATAAGCAATATCCCTGGACTTTGTTTGTGTATAAAATAAAGGTTTATAGAAGATGCAGGGCAGAGTATCTGATTAGATTCTTATTCATCCAGAACTCGGTTTTGGTCAGCAGTTGCTGTATGGTGTTCTAGACCTCATGTCCAAGAGATTATGGCATCTCTGGAAAGCATCTTTGGATGGAATGTGGGTGGAACTTTGAAAGCACATATGGTTGGATTGTGAAATGGGAGACACACTCAGTACATGGATGTGTGTGGGGGAGGTCAAACTAAATCACTCCAGGGACCGGAATCTAACATGCAGTCTATGTTGTGGGCAGAACAGGATTACCATTCATAAAAAAGTCTAGTACTGACAGTGATTTAAACAAAAAATTATATTTAGATTTAAAACTGGTTCTTAAACATGGAAATGACATCACTGTACTTTGGGAGCAGCCAAAGTCAGCAGATCTTGAGCAGTTGTGAGATGAAGTCCTGCTCATAAAAATCCACAGTCCAGCCCAGTACCAGCAAAAGGAACTTCATTAATTGTGATCTGTGAGTTAAATTTAATTAAATTTGAAAAGGTCACAGAGGTCATGCAGATATCCCCAGTGCAGCTGCACTGCTGAGTAAATCAACACTGTGTCTCCTCCTTACCCTCAAGAACAAATTGCTTCATTTCAATCTCGTAGAACTTGTTGGTACCGATGATAATGCTGTAGCTGGTCAGGTAGATGCAGCTGCACGGCTCCAGAGTTTCAATTTCCTGTCAGAGGAAACACATTACTGTATTTCATATATGAAGAGTTAACTCAGACCAACAGAATCATCTTCTCATGTTATTTCATATCTGTGTAAACATCAGGCTAAAGCCATGTTTTACTGTCACTTACTGTCAGATCCTCTTTGTAATGTTTGCTGCAGTTGTTTTTTATCAATCAAACTGTACATCAGAGTAGTATTTGGTACCCACCTTACGAATACAGTATTTATTGAGATTGTCATTGTAGCGAAGGATGGTTATCTTGTTGGGCATTGCTGCACATATGCAGGGACCATTGTCTACCTGTGAAGAGGAGAATATAATGTTAAAGCATAGAAATATTTACTAGAGAAAAGTCCAGATGTGAATAGTCACACATAATGTCAAGTGGTCAGCTGATGTACAGAGTTTATGTTCAGTAATAAATAAAAACACTCTGAAACAAGATCAAATCCATGTCTTAAACTGATATGACAGAAAAACACATTTATTAAAACCGTCTTATCTAATTTGAAAACACAATACACGCAACAGTAAAATTCATGGATTGTACAATTGTTTATGTTCATATCTGACAGAAGAAAGAGAAGAATGTCCTACTCTCCCAGCAGAGAAGAGATGGCAGCCCTTCACTGTCTCAAAGATGTATGGAGCCAGTTCAGACTGGCTGGGCAGGTGAGACTGAGCCAGAGACTGTTTGACTCTCTTTATCTCCACCAGACACAGAGCTCTCTCATCACCTGTCGTGCACACACACACACACACACACACACAGAGAGAGAGAGAGAGAGAGAGAGAGAGATAGTTCAGAGCAGCGTTTGTTCACGAACAGTATCTTTTTATTTTTATCTTTTATTAAAATTTGGATGAGCAAAACAAAACATCTTAAAATCTGTATGATTGATGATAAATATGGAACATCACCTGAGCAGAACAGGCAACTAATCTGAACATCTCACCAACAATCATCAGAAGTTTCTCCTGCTCTTTGATGATGTGGATCTGAAAGACTGACCCAAGACCGGGAACCTGGGTCAGGGAGTTCTTGATAACATTCAGGGCATACAGACCTTCTTCAGAGCCTACCAGTACGATCTGCAGCAGGGCCACAAAAGCAGAATCACTCCAGTGGATATAATGAACACATGGTCTGTAAGATCTGAGTATGTGAATAACCCAAAGGTAGAGTATGACATGAAAGTACAACCAGACAGAGGATGTTCTACCTGATCTGTCAGAGGAAGAGTGCAGTTAATGTCTAGCCTGTCGTCTCCTTCCAGCTTCAGCAGAGAGTTTCCCAACAGTTTCTGTGGAGCAGAGTGACATACTGTAGGTCAAAGGTCAGCTGAGCCATGACCTCAAGGCAAGTGCAAGGAATAAGAGAGGGGACAAAGATAATTCTTGTAAAAACATTTTTCTCTCTCATGTCTTCTCATCATCGCTCATCTAATTTGAACTTGTCTCTTCAATCCATCTCATCAATCAATCTTATCAAATCCAACAGGCTTCTATCTAGGTGTCCTGGGCTTCGTTATAAGAAAAGAACAGCTCAGTCAAGTATTTATTATGAGTCTGTTCTCTGGATATTTTATTCTTTAGTTATTCTTCTTTAACAAAGCAGACAGTGGTTATACATGAAGACCGTGTCCTGGTTTTTTCCTCCACTGGTTCAGAGACACTCACTGCATCAGCCTCAGCCTTCTCCCTCGACGCTCGCCCACTTGTAACCACAGTCTCTATGACTGACACCCAGCGCTGTTTTTCTGGGAAACTCTGAGCCATGAAGTAAATACTTTGTCCAGGCCAACAGGGGGCGTGGCACCGAGTTTCCAGTTTAATGACATAAGGAACATCTGGATCACAGGAAAACAGGAGGCTGGTTATGACTTCACTGACAAGATAGGATGGAAAGGAAAGGAAAGAATTTTGGAAACGCTAACACTGTCTACCTGACTTGGCTGTGTTTGGCAGCTCAGACGCTCCAACAGCTCCATGAACCATCACCTCTCCATCTGACAGACACAGGTCAAACTCCTCCAGAGGCTTCACTGAGTCTAAGGCAGGCAGACGAACATATAAACATATGGAACTGTTGCTCTGTCTGATGTGTGAACTCTGAAGATCTGTGTGAAGTGAAACAAACACCTTCTCTGGGCTCCAACTCATAGACTGATATTTTAGTTCCATCTAGGACCACAAACTTCCGCTCCCAGCTTTGGCCTCGTTTCCCGTTCCTGCAAACAAACAAGGAATTACTTTTTGTATTATAAAAGGTTAGAAAAGGTGGCACTCTTGCTGTTTTCTAGATATGTTTCTATTGATTAAATGATGTTTGTTGGCAGATATACTGTAATTAAGGGGACATTCTATAGCTGTGTTGTAGCAACACATCTCCCATGATTCACACTGTTGATTTTTATGTGCTACTTGGCTCCTGTGCCCATATCTGACCTGGGCTGCTTCATCCATCCCTCCACATGCATGTGTCCGCTGCCGTCTTTCAGCTGCTGTACTTTGTCTCGACACAGACCCTCAGACAGATGCAGCGAGCAGTCGCTGGACATGCCGCAGGTAGACGGAAGGCAGGGGGAGCATTTGGGGTGACACAAGGCGTGACACTCTGAGGAGACAATATACACATCAAAATAGGACATCAGTTAAAGGACATCAGTTTAGCTAGAAATGTTGGACAAGTTAGAAGTTAGCGCTCTTGGACCGTCTGTCCAAGTTGTCTCCTAGACAGTAAAAGAGACAGCATCTTAATTTGACATTTTAATTAACTTTTAAATTGTTCTTTCCTTTATTACATGTCAATGTGAATTTTTTCACCTTTTTCACAGGGGTAAAAACTCACCCAGACAGGTGGCAGCTTGTCGACCAAAGTGCACTGTATCCAGACAGACAGTGCACTTGGCTGCCCTCATGTTGAGACCCACAGTGAAGCGATGGGCCGTGCTGTGGTGCATGACTCTCTCCCTCTCCCTCTCTCTGTCTCTCTGACTCTCTTTCAGACGACGGTTGTACTCTGACACAGTACAGGTAAATAGTAAACACAGTCAGCGCAGGGAATTCTCTGACCGTTTCAGTCATGAACCTTCATCAGCATCATGCTATAACTGCTACTGCATGAGAAGAGAATTAGACGACTGTAAGATGTTCTGTAAAAAGCATAAGATGGTTGAAAGGAATATTGATTTGATCATTTATGGAGTCCTGAGTCCACTCACCGCAGCACCTTAAAGGTATTATTCAGTTGATGATGACTTTTTTCATCAGGGTTTGTTTATGTTTACAAGAGTGTGTCCATTCATGCTGAACGAGGAATTTAGCAAATACTCAGTAGTGAGGATTTAATTACAGTCTAATTATAGAGGAACCACAATGTTTGCTTCATTTATCATTTAAACTAATGTTTGGCCCCTATAAACATTTGATTAAAAAATCGTCATGCATAATTCCATTACAGAAACCGATACCAGATGCTAGAAACAATTCACTTCTCTTTATTGAATGAATACGGAAGCGTATTGCTGCCACACTGAGAAGAAAAATTGGCTCAGTTTCACGAAATTACGTGATAAGTTTTACGTTATTTCGTGATAGGTTTTACATTATTACGTGATAACCTTCACCTTACAGTGGTCCCTCTCTATATCGCGGTTCTACTTTCACTCCCTCAGTACATCGCGGATTTTTTAATCCAATCTTTAAACATTAAAATGTTTTAATTTCCAAGCCTACAAGGAAAAAAAACACATACACAGTACGTACGTTTGGGAAATCTAAGATATACTGTATGTACTGTCCATATGGTGAGCATTTAATTAATGTAGGATACCTCAATTGGACACATGATGGCACTGTTGTTGTTAGACTGTTGATAACAGTGTGTGGAGGTTCGTTCATATAATAAGTATCGCGACTCCACTTCGCGAATTTTCCCATTTCGCGGTGGGTCTTGAAACGCAACTACCGCAATAGGAGAGGCACCAGTGGATTTTGTGATAACTTTCACGTTTATTACGTAGTATCGCGACTCCACTTCGCGAATTTTCACATTTCGCGGTGGGTCTTGAAACGCAACTACCGCAATAGGAGAGGCACCAGTGGATTTTGTGATAACTTTCACGTATTTTATTACATGATGACTGTAAAGCACACTGAGTTTGCTTTGTGCAAGAAATTCGCTCTGTAAATAAAATTGAATTGAATGAAATGATGAATGAAAGTCCCCTGCGAGACAAGAATATGGCTCGTTGACACGATTCAGTTTAATTGTACTTTATGCTTGGCTTGAGGCTTGGTGAGATTTTGCAGTTATTGGGCTCAGTGGATGAGATTTATATTAGTATGCGTACACTTAGAACGATTGATCAACTGGAGGGCAACGGCTCCATGGAGACAAGCTGGATACGTTGTCACCCAAAGTACGAGTCATCACGTAATTACATGATACGTTTTAAGTTATTTCGTGATAAGTTTCACGTAATTACGCGAAATGGGAAAATTCGCGAAGTGGAGTCGAGATAGTTATTATATGATTTACGTATATATTTACCCTTCACGAACCTACACACACCGTTATCAACAGTCGAACAACAACAGTGACATCATGTGTCCAATTGAGGTATCCAACATTCACCATACGCTCACCATATACAGTAGACAGTACATATATCTTAGATTTCCCAAACGTACGTACTGTATATGTTTTTTATGTATTACCCTGTATGTATGTATGTGTTGCAAAGTGTCTTTTCGTTTATTTAAATACTGTTTTTCCGTTGTAGGCTAGAAAAATGAAAATATTGGAAATTAAAACATTTTTAATGTTTAAAGATTGGATTAAAAAATCCGCGATGTACTGAGGGAGTGAAAGTAGAACCGCGATATAGAGAGGAACCACTGTAAGGTGAAAGTTATTACGTAATAACGTAAAACTTATAACGAAATAACGTAAAACTTATCACGTAATCACGTAAAACGTATCACGCAATACCGTAAAACGTATCACGAAATAACGTAAAACGTATCACGAAATAACGTAAAACGTTTCACGAAATACCGTGAAACTTTTCACGTAATAACGTGTAACTTATCACGTAATTACGTGAAACTGAGCCAATTTTTTTCTTAGTGTGGCAGCAATACGCTTCCGTAAATGAATGAAGAACCTTGTGCAACTTGTAAAAATATTCAATGGCTCAATCATGTTGAGCCAATATAATTCACCTGTTAACATTACATAATTCCACCTCTAGAGGCCACCAAATCCTTCGAACTTGCCCTTAGCTATAACACTGCCCCGTTAGTTAAGATTTATTTGCCTTTTCAGGATTGTTTTATTTTTAATTTACCAATGTAGGTTGACATGGTTAAAGTTATAGATGTGAATGACAATCTGATGCACTTTTAATTGCGTTGTAAACGTGAACAAAATGAATAACACTGAACAAATAACTGAATAATACCTTGAATTGTTTAAAAAAAAAAAACTAGCTTCGGAGAGAAACTTGTTGATTCCATCTATCAATGACATGTTTGTGTGTGATCATGTGACCTTTAGGTGACTTTATAGTGAGATGACGAGCAGCAAGGCCTGCAAATCAGATCAGTTAAGCTTCAGCAACCAAAGTAGAAAGCTTCAGATTTTTTAAAGCTGTGCACTGACTGTCATATAAAATATCAAGGTGAAAATGTCTGAGACTCACCTGACAATCATCACCAGCCTGATGACATTTTAGAAAAGTGCAGAGCTTTTAAAATCTGGCCTTTAGGGATGTGAATGGGACAAAAGTAAAGAGATAAATTGAAAACAGTTCGAGCTGTAGAACCCTGGGGATTTCAGAGCTTTAACTTACTTTCAAAAGTGACCCTCCTTCTCTCTGAAATGTGTGTGAAAGAAAAAGGATCATATGAGCTCCACAGATCATTTCCTCTGTGTGTGACTGAGTGAACATGTCACGGCCAGGACCTGTGAATGTTGCTGTTGTGTTGTTAAAATAGAGGAAAGAAGTTTTACCTCTGCAGTCTGTCTGTCACTCACCCTCAGGTGTTGCTGTTTCCTTCCTGCGTCCAGAGTTAACGGGGGCCAGGTTTGGAGGACCCTGCTGGTGCTCAGGAGATTTCACCATGGCCGACATGATCATCTGCTGACGTGATGACGGTGGGTTTGAAGAGTTACCGTGGTCTTTGTACTGGAGTGCTGGAATTTAGGAAAATGTAAAAGAAACCTGCTGTTAAAGGTTGCTTATTGTTAAGTAGATGTAGTTTCTCATAACCATGATGACCATTGTTAAAAAATAAAATAAAATAAAATAAATAAAAACATCATGTTTTTTAATTGTTAACCATATGTACAAAATATAACAATTTTTGTAAATTGTGTGTGGTATAATACAAACAATAAACACAAAAATGGCCCCAATTATATAATAAAGTTAGATTAGTACTCGATAAAAAGCACATAGTAAGTCAAAGCTGGTCCACAAAGATTTTCAAAATTAGAAAAAATTTGACTCTAACATTTGGCCATAACAGCTTCGTGTAGGTAAAATAAGCCTGGATGACAGCTTGAGATGAGTATAGCATGAGTGTTACTGCGGGAATTTTATAAGGCCAACCTTCGATTTATTTCACATGAGTTAAAAGGTAAAAAGAAACAATGTGACCTTTCCTAAACTGACTGACTAATTAAAATCATTTTTAGAAATAGTTTATAAAGACTGTAATGTACACCGGGATCAAACTTAAGACACATTTCTGATTAAGGACTAAATGTATTTCACCAGCCCTGACGGCAGGTTTTTAAATACTAGTTTGACCTTCTTCTCTCAGAGATCTCAGCTCTGCTCTCATTTTCTGCAGAGCATCTTCCAGCTCAGAGCAGCGAGCACGTTCTTTGTCCAGAGCCAGCTTCATGTCGGTGTACTGCACAGGAACCGGCTGAATGGGGGGTACCGGGGACACCTGGCCTTGACCCTGACCCTGGGCCTGAGCCTGGGCCTGAGCGGCCATGGCAGCTAATAGGTCCTCACGACGGCGACCAAACAGACCCTGAGACACACACACAAAGAGCGTGGTACTGATCAGACATGGGCTTTAACTGGGTGAATTTAATGTGTCCCATTTGCAGACACCTGAGGACCTAATCTAAAGGCCACAGATAGGACACCTAAGCAGGGCATAAAGGTCAATTATGTTGTCTAAATAAGTTCTTCAATACAACCCTACCATGGAACATCCTAAGGTAAGAGCACAGTGAAACTAATGAATTAAATGATGATTTGTAAATCACATTGAGGAGCACTTTAGTCTTGCCCAAAGCCCAATCCTATTCATAGCACAGTGGAGCCAAATGATTTCCATATAGCATGACTGCCTGGTCCCAATAACATGATCAGATTTAATCTCACATTATGTTTATGAGACTGAAATGTGTTGAAACACAAGGCCAACTGACAACCATTAACCACATCCATATGGGTGAACACAGGAGGGGCTGCTTCAGTGTATGGACCTGTCTGCATGTGACAACTGCCTGATGAAATGAAGACTAAATCTGAAATCTCCTCTGACCTTCTTCTTCTTGGAGCCACCGTGAGCCTGGGACTGGAGGAAGTCAATGAGCTTGGTCTGCTGGGTAATGGTCCCCTCCATTTTCACCTTCTCATGGGAGTACACAGCCTGCAGGTGGAGCTAAGTGAACATCACTACTGCCATGAATTTCTCCTCAAGTACTTAATTTCACACACAGAGGGCGACAGAAAGACATAAAAAAGGAGAGCAGGTCTCCTGTGTAGTGTGGTGGCTTTAAACAAAGTGGGGGAATAACATGATGGTAAAAAAGACAGCACACAATGTTGAAAAATACCCAGTTATTCACATTTTAAATACATGTGTATAAATTATTCATTCCCTTTGAGTCTTTGTGTGCAGATGCATTACATTGTAATACATCAGGAAAATACATTTTAACACAGGTCTTGTGAGACTTGAAAGTGTTGAAAAGGGAACTTTCCAATGATTTTTAGTTTAATTTCATTGAAAGTTAGGAATGAATGGGTATTTTACGTCAGTAAACTCCTTGTTTCAACACTTGTTTAGATATTTTCTAAAAAAAAATTAAAGATTTGCCTTTTTTTTAATACATCTATTTCTTATTCCATCATTTTGATTAGTTGTTAGCTATTCTCTGTTAACTTTACCAAATTATTCAGCGCTTGTTTCAATCATTTCACATTTTGGTTATGCTTTACTTGATGTAGGTGTCTTACTGATGCTTATACCTGGCTCTAACAAACTCCTGCTATTTCTCAACTAATGTTGGATCTCAAAAGTTTGTCAGTTTGCTTTTTCATGATGAATACCTGACTTATTTATTTCTCTTTTTTTCATAAAATATATCTACAGTAATACATTATGGCCCCCATCATTTAGATTTGTAAAAGATAATTTCAGAATAATCTGGCTTTATGTGTCTTTGTGCGTGTGTGTGTAGCAGCACCTGGATATTTTCCAGCTGATATTCCAGGTCGGACCTCTCAGTTTTCAGCAGGTCAGTCTGGTCCAGAGCATCCTGCAGACCCTGGGTCAGTCTGAAGATGTGGGTCTTCTGGGCATCCATCTGCTGCTGCAGCTTCTCCTGCTGCAGACGTGAAAAAGCTCATGAATTCAAGTCCAACATGAGTTTTTCCCCAAAAAACTTAAAATTTACAGATGTTGTTTTGAAAATATTTCTGTAGTACTGGTGAAATCAGATTTCTAGTCCAGAATGTCTGGTACCTCCTCAAGTAGTCTCTGCTTCAGATCCCTCTCACTCTCCAGCTTCTGCTGCAAACTGCGAGCATTCATTTCCAACATTGTATGTTTCTTCTCCAGATCATTCAACTAAAGTGAAAAAAAGTAGCAATTATTTACTCTATTGTCTGCTTACACACACACACACACACACACACAAAATACTTGTGCAAATGCAGAGAAATGCCTACAGTGTCTGCGAGGCTTTCAGCTTTCAGCTTCTGGTCCTTGAGGGCTTGCTGCAGGGCCAGGATCTCAGCTTTGTGCTCCTTCACTGCCTGGTCCACAGCCTGTCGAGACTCAGAGCTGCGCTGCTCTGCCCGAATTCTGTAACAACATCCAAACATGTTCAAGGTGATCATTTTGTGTTTTATTTTTATTTTTTTAAATGTGGCTTTTTTTATACATATTTTTGTAGATAACCCATCACTACAGTCACTTGCATAGCTAAAAAAGGATTGCCTGTTATCAATAAAAGATTTGAGTGGGCAAGAGGGGAGATGGTGTCTCCCTTGTTAGCAAAATGACAAAAATGCATCCCGTTTGTTAACCTGCCACCCCCTCTCTGTCAGGGCAAGAAGGAATATTTCGAGGATCTCCTCAATCCCGCTGACACGCCTTCCGCGGAGGGAGCTGAGGCTGAGGACTCAGCAGCTGATCCTCCCATCTCCTGCACTGAGGTCACCGAGGCAGTCAAAAAGCTGCTTAGTGGAAAGGTGCCGGGGGTGGATGAGGTCCGCCCTGAGTACCTCAAGTCTCTGGATGTTATGGGGCTGTCTTGGTTGACACGTCTCTGCAGCATCGCATGGCAGTCTGGGACAGTACCTCTGGACTGGCAGACTGGGATGGTGGTGTCTCTTTTCAAAAAAGCGGACCACAGGGTGTGTTCCAACTATCGGGGGATCACACTCCTCAGCCTCCCGGGGAAAGTCAATTCCAGGGTACTGGAGAGGAGAATCCGGCCGATAGTCGAACCTCGGATTCAAGAGGAACAATGTGGTTTTCTTCCTGGTCGTGGAACACTGGACCAGCTCTATACCCTCCACAGGGTGCTTGAGGGTTCATGGGAGTTTGCCCAACCAGTCCACATGTGTTTTGTGGACTTGGGAAAGGCTTTCGATCGTGTCCCTCGTGGTATTCTGTGGGGGGTGCTCTGAGAGTATGGGGTCGGATGCCCTCTTCTAAGGGCTGTCTGGTTCCTGAACCATCGGAGTAGGAGCTTGGTTCGCATTGTTCCCGGTGCATGTTGGACTACGACAGGGCTGCCCTTTGTCACCGGTTCTGTTCATTATTTTTATGGACAGAATTTCTAGGCACAGCCAGGTGTCGGGAGGGGTCCAGTTCGGGAGCCACCGGATTTCATCTCTGCTTTTTGCGGATGATGTGGTCTTGTTGGCCTCTTTGAACCAGGACCTGCAGCATGCACTGGGGCGGTTTGCAGTAGGTGGTATGCACCCTTCGGGTTGGGGATGAAGTCCTGCCTCAGGTGGAGGAGTTTAAATATCTGGGGGTCTTGTTCACGAGTGACGGTAGGATCGAGCGTGAGATTGACAGGCGGATCGGTGCTGCGGCCGCCGTAATGCGGTCGCTGTATCGGTCCGTTGTGGTGAAGAAGGAGCTGAGCCGAAAGGCGAAGCTCTCAATTTACCGGTCAATCTACGTTCCTACCCGCACCTATGGTCAGGAGATGTGGGTCACGACCGAAAGAACGTGATCCCAGATACAAGCAGCTGAAATGAGCTTTCTCCGCAGGGTGGCAGAGCGCTCCCTTAGAGATAGGGTGAGGAGCTCTGTCACCCGAGAGGAGCTCAAAGTAGAGCCGCTGCTCCTCCACATAGAGAGGAGTCAGCTGATGTGGCCTGGGCATTTACATCGCATGGCCCCGGACGCCTCCCTCGGGAGGTGCTCCCTCGGGGAGGAGACCTAGGACACGCTGGAGCGACTACATCGCTCGGCTGGCCTGGGAACGCCTTGGGGTCCCCCCAGAAGAGCTGGAGGAAGTGTCGAGGGAGAGGGAAGTCTGGGTGTCCCTGCTCAGACTGTTGCCCCCGCCACCCGGCCCCAGGTAAGCGGTTGATGATGGATGGATAGATATTTACACAGAAAATGTCACAAAAAGCTGAACCAATGAGTCAGTTATGTGGTTGACACCTATTTTGTTTCTCTGTGTCCAACAGCCTCTGGATCTCCCTGGTCCTTCTCTCAGCCTGTTTCTTCTCGTCCTCCAGTGTTGTCCTCCAGGCGTCCCACTGTCTTTCTTTCTCCATCAGCTCATCGTTCATGGTCTCCAGCTCCAGGACCTGCTCCTCCAGCATGGTGCAAGTGGTTTTCAGAGTCTCAAGGTTCTGGGGGAAAAAAGGCAAGATTTGAATAAGAAAATCATACTCAGTGAAATAGGTTTTTAGGAGGATATTTTAAGTTTAATTTTAATCTTTATATAAGAGGCTTCTTCAGTTTTGAGATTTTGTGTTCACGTGGTAGCAGAGCAGCTTTAAGATACTGATTATCACAGTCCGTGTTGAATCCTCTAAAGAAGCAAACCTGCATTGTTCTAACGTGTCTTTAGTCATAGGACAATTTGGACTTCGGCTGTTTACTGTATTATTGTTAAACATGAACACATTTACCTGGTCATGTTTTTCAACAAATTTTTTAAACAAAGCACGGCTGAGAGACAAATATAGGCTGTGGTTCTGCTGCTGCTGCTGTGTGAACATTCCCACAGCTGACACGACCTGGGAGTGATGGGGATGACACATCTCTCCATCCCACGCTCACCACCACCCCTTCCCTCCACCGTCTCTTCCATCGTTACACAACCATCAGGAACCAGAGCTCTGCTGGACACCCACACAAAAAGATCCTCCCACAGAGGCAGAGCACACATATCAGACAGCCTCAACACTTTCTCTCTGTAACTGTGTCCAGAATACAGATCATTCCTGAATATTCCCAGAAGATCTGCTGCCTGGTCAGAGCTCAGAGAGACGTCTGAGCTGCCACTCTGTCTATCAAGCAGTTGTCTGACTGACAGTGATGGACATGCAGTCTGAACATGAGAAGCAAGTGTTACTGTCTAAGACAGGGGTGTCACATTTGTTCTACAGGTGGCTTTACATCACTGGTAAAAATACAGGGCAATGTTAATAAAGTAGTTAAACTCCAAATGAATAGGACCAGACTGTATATGATTAGATCAATTAGAAATAGATAAAATGTAGGTTAAATAAACAATAATTATCTGGTGACAAAAGAATGACAAAAAAAGTAAATAAAGAAATTAGTTTCTTTTCTCTCTTTTTTTTTGCCGTTACAAAGACGAGCAAAACCACAACCTTTTCAGTTCAGTCAATAAATCCAGAACCTAGAATCACAGCAGTATTACAGTAACATTCAGTGATATGAACATGTCCCTCTCAGAGGTGACCTGTGCTGATATTAGCATGACTCACTAAAAACAATTGGTTTGGTTTCTTGTTTTTGTCATGAAAACTTCAGCGAGGTTTGTTCCTAATGATGTATTTAACATCATATCATCTGCCTTTCTTTGTTGTTGCTAGAAATTGGACCTGACTTTAATAGATTCTTTTCAAACCAAATAATTAATTTATAAATCTCCATCTCACCGTGCTGCCACAGTTGGTACCTGTTTCTGGTTGTTAAGGTGCATCTCTCTGTCGGCCACCTCTCGACGCAGTCGGTCCACATCCTGGCTGAGCTGAAGACGATCTTCTCTCTCGTCTGAGGCCTCATCCAGCTGCTTGGATAAGTAGAAGTTCTGACGGTTGAGCTCGGCGTTCTCTTCTGTCAGTCTGGTCAGCTGTTCCTCCAGATCTGTAATGACCTACAGAGACATCATCGCCATACACAAGGTATAAGATTTACACATTACAAGATTTACAGTTTGATTATCTAAACCAACAGAGGAACAATCATTTCATCAGCAATAATTTTTCCTTTTCTTTAATCAGCCTCTGCAGGAAGATGGTCACACCTGACGAGGCTCCTGTTTCTCTGCCCTCACGATAAAATGTGGCAGGAAAAAGAAAAACAAAAAAAGTTTAATCATTTGTAAAGGAGCTGTTAAATCTGGACTGAGTCCGTTTTTTTACCAGCCTGTCACACTAAAGAAGAAGACTAAGGACTTGAGGTAATTTGTGGAAGTTTATCTATGACAGGGATGAAACCATTATCTGACAAACCTCTGAATGTATTCTCCTCACTTCTCATTGCTTCACCAGCTTTGCCTCCTCACCTCTGCTGAATACAAATTGCACAAAACTATTTGTGGAGGTTGTGGGTGTACATCAAATATAAACTGCAGTTAAAGAGGCAGTAAATCAGTGCTGCAGTTCTCCTTAGTGAAACTAACATTTTTTGTACACTGATGGCGGAAAGTAGTCAGAAGCACTCACTCTTACTTTAGAAAAAACTAAAATAACAAGCACACCTGGCTATAAAAATGGTATGGCAGAAAGAAAGGAGGATTTAGTTAGGTTGTAGTTTGTCGAAAAAACTTTTTAATGTTAACTGAAAATTTGTAACTGAAAAAAGTAGCCTAAAACACATATGAATTCAGCAAACCAAACCAAAAATGAATGTCACGGCATGAGGTTAACAGGTTATAAAAACTAGCCTTCACGTAGCAGCTAAAAGACAAGAAATAGCCAGGAGACATCCCTAAACTAAAAAAAAAAAAAATTGTAATAACATGTTTTAAATTAAAATAAATTAAGCTAATACTTAATTCAAACTTATTTAGCAATGTGGCTTCAATGTATATATATATATATTTGCATTATAACATTATAACCATTATATATTTGCAATATTATTGTCACTTAATTGTCACTTAGCCATTGTGTTCTTTTATTTCCACTGGTTCTAAACATGTTTTGATTGTCACAGCTCTATGGAGATTGACTGAATGTGACTAAATAAAAGGTGTTGACAACAAAGTGCTGCCTTCTCAAACCTAATTACATCCTTTGCTTTGTAATAAAAATATATTTGTGTTAACAAGGTCACTTTAAAAACAAGACAGTAATTATTCTCCTAGGTTTTCTCTCCTTGACTAATGACAGGCTGCCAAACACCAGCAGATTATTGCTGATACCAGACATTTGTTGGAGTTGTCTCTGAGCTGTGACACTGATGAGAACATGATGGATAGAAACACAAAGACTCCGGTCACAGCTTTGTAAGAGAGGCAGAAAAAATCCAATGTGGAGTTGCCAAACAGACATGATGGCAGGATCTGTGCTGTTACCATCCTATTACAGTTCCAACAGCATGGCTCTGGTAATAACAGCTCACTCTGCCAAAAATGGACGCAGTGACATCATGGAAAAAAACAGCTTCTGACTGAGAACATTTCTATTTCTAATGTAAAAATCAGTTTTAGTCTGTTTAACCACAGAAGTGATGTTTTTGTCACTTGAATTCTTGGTTAAACTTAACCATTTATTGAAATATTCCTGCAAAACAAATAATAGGATCAATTTTTAATTTTACACTTTGAAAAATGATGTGCAAACATTACCCCTATTAAAATAAACACATTGCTGGTTAGATAATCATTACTTATCTCAGCTCAGTGAAGGTTTTAAATCAAGTCCCAAAGTATTTGGGACAAAGTGACTTAGTTAAAACAATGTAAATGCACGTCTCATTTTGTCTGTGAAAGTCAAGACAATTGTTATAATACTCAGATTTTCCATTTTCCCACAAACATTCACTTAGAATTTTATTTTGAATGTTTAAATAATGCTGATTAGTCCAAACAATCAAACATGCTAAAAGCATGCAGTATTTTATTGCAGTGTTTGAGTCACGAGTCAAGGGGGAGCAGAATATTTATTAAACAGTGAATGAATATACTTTTTTATATGTCTATATTATGTTCATTACTACAAAGTAAACATATTATTTATATACTACTCACAAATTACGCCAAATGAAAATGATGTATTTGATTTATATCTCTATAAAGAGGTACTCAAGGCTGCAGCACCAGTATAGGTATTGGATATGAAAAAGTGCCTTTGAGCCATGCCTAGTTTTTGACCCAGTGTAATATTGGAGACATGGTACAAATGCCTTGTCCTCTTACCGCACAGCTGTCCCTCAAGGTGTCAAACTTGCGCTGTATCTCATCTCGGTGTGCCTGGGAAGAGTAATAAAAGAAGCAGGTCAAATATTAGGACCTAACTCACAGGAATCCAAAGATAACATTCTCCCACGCCTTACTCTGAGCACAGTGATCTCCTCCTCAGCCTCTGCAGTGGTCTCCTCCAGCTCAGTCTTGGCCTGCTGCAGTTGAATCTCCAGAGCGTGACGAGATGCCTGCAGGTTACTGACCTGGGATTCACGCTCCTGCAGCGAGATGGTCAGTTCTGTCACCTGACGCTTGATCTCCAGCTTCTGTTCCTCGTGTTCCAGCCCCATCTAACCAAGACAAATCCAGTATCAGGGAGCATAAGATTCTGGTAATTTACTAACATAACCATAACATTGGTGCAACTGTTGGCTGAAGAGGAATAAAATGATCAGAATGTATTTTTGAGTAGTGGTCAGTATTAAATTCATCATGTCTGTGTTTGGTATATTTACTGTCTGACATTTTTTTATGTCTGTCCAAAGCATTAACATTTTAAATTTTAAATGCAGTGTTTATTTTATATGAGCATGATTAAAAGCTGATTAAAAGCTGCCTTAACAAGAAAGCTTGTTTTTGTTGGTATAGAGTAAGTGTAAAACTGTTTATATTTCCTAATTTTGCTTTGACCCTTGTATTTGTGATCAATGCTTTGGCCGCTGGTTTATAGTTGATGTTGTCAACCTGTTTTCCGACTTCTGTGTCGAACTGCTGTTATTGTTTGAGCTGCTGGTGAATGCCTCACATCCTTGATTGCTTTTCCAATTTTTATGCCTCCACTCAGTGATTGTCATTGCCCTGCTCTCCGTTTAATGACTCTTGCATTGGTGTGTCATATCTGCTTGGCACCTGTATCATTACTGCATTGTCATTTTCACTTTGATTCAAGTCCTATGACTAGACTCTGTGTGGTCCTTATATGTGTTGGCCCCCCGCTGTTATCTGTGTCTGTTCTTGTCAGTTTCACTCATCCGTGTTTGTTAGTCATTCATTCTCCTTCCAGCTCCGCTCAGTCATCTCTCCTCACCTCTCTGAGTCTGGTTTCCAGCTCCAGCACTCGGCTCTTATTGCTTTGCTCCTGCTGACTAATTTTCTCCAGATGCTCCTCCAGCTTGGCATTTTGAGCCTCCAATTTTCCAGCCTGAGACTCCAGGTAGAACTTTTGCTGTCGTAGCTCAGAGATCATTTCCTCTTGGGCTTTCCTTAAACATTAGTCACAGACCAGGAGGTGATGCCAACCACTGTTATTATCATTACATTATTTCAATGTTATTTTTTTAGTATGTTTTGTTTTCTTAGTACTTACATGTTCTTCTGTGTGTAGATGCTGCTGTTAGCTGCTAGCTTGTTGGCCTCAGACAGCTCAGCGATTCTCTGCTCCAGGCTGTTCATCTTTGAGTCCATGGCATTTATGGTCTGTAAATCAGATTGTAAACCTCAAACTTCGCTATTATTTTCACATTTTCACACACACTGGCTTTACCTGGAATAAGACTGCTCAACTTTTTAGTTGATTTTTTTTTTATGGGTTTTCTCTTGCCCTCAGTTCTGGTTGCTGTGTGTATTAGTAGTTTTATTATTCTTATCACCATCACTAACTGACATTAGGGTTTTCTGTCTTGTTTTATGTCTGACATCACTGATGTAACCCCTGGTTTCTGAGTCATTTCTGTGTTTGTTAATATTTATTTATTTACAGTCCTTGTACTGCACTTTTTCTATAATATGAAGCATATTTGACCACACTGTCCGTATCGGTGCGCAGCTACACCTGCTACCACCAGTTTGTCCCAGCTAAAATTCTGGCTGCATGTCTGAGAATGGGCTGGGAATCCTTACCCTACATCACTCCCCAGCACAAATCTATGTCAGTGTGATAAATGTTAAAATAAGCCCAGAATAGTGTCACTGCCTGGATGGTCAGCTCTTACCGCCTTCTGTTCACTGATGATGCTGCACTTTTCGCGCACCTCCTCCTCATACTTGCTCTGACTGGACTCTAGCATCTCCTTATCTGCCATGTCCGCCTTCATCTGAGCTTCCAGCACCTGCTCCACGCCAGGCAGTCCACATGAGCCAAACCAAAACGGACAAAGAACAGTGGAAAGAGACACAACTCAAGCATCCAAAGCTCCGTCACTTAATTTAGCACAGCACATCTATTCTGGTGAAATACAGTGTATAATTGTTGAAAACCTACCTTTATCTTGTCCTCATAGAGCTTCTCCTTCTGCTTTAGATGAGTCTCAAAGCGTTGAGCCGTGGCCTGAGTCTCTCGAAGATTCTCCTCCAGCTCCTGCATAAAAATCACAAATATTTTTTGGCACTAAATGTTAAATATTGTTCAGTGTTGGGGTGTTTGTGGGTGGAGTTCCCAGCATGCTTTGGAGTCATGCTGCATTTAAGTCATGGCTGTTTTGCGTTATAGGTGTTTATTGTGCACATGTTGGTCAATGTGAATATGTTTAAGAGTCAGATTCAGTGATATGAGGAAATTATATGAGGAGGTTGACGGCACAAGTCTTTTGTGTTTCGACCATAACTGAAGAAATTAAAGGTGTTTTGTAGTGTTGCCATGACACCAACATTTTGGTATTTATACTGGTACCATTGTGGTTGGATACTTTTCTGAAATAAATAAATGTAGGGGTGTGGGGAGGACAGGGTGCGGGGGCTGAATGCCCTCTTTTATGGGTGAATATATAGGTGATTATCTGTTCTTTAAACTCTTTCATTTCACCAAGTCTTGTGTTATGACAACTCAGCTGCCTGAAACTTTTTTTATACTAAGCATTTGGAACGATCTATATACAGTACATATTAAAGGAAGGTAATGATTGTTCTTAGTGTGCAGCACACTCTATAGTAATAATAATAATAATATGTCTGCAGTGAGTTTAGACGTGTCAAAGGAAGTAGAGAGGAAAGAAGGACAGAGAAGTCAATCAAACACCTACACTGATGTAGAAGCTAATTGAAAACACTTCTGTGGGCATTTCATGTTTAGAATTAGAAAATAATGAGTGGGAGAAGTTATTATTACTGTTATTATTGCATATATAGGACAACCTTTGACCCGTGTAGAAAGAACAGTTTACATGTAAACTAATAACAACAATAATACGACACAACGCTGACCATGCATCATGTTTTTCTCACGGCTGTTCTGCATATTTTGGTTCTTGACACACAAATACACACACACACACACACACACACTTTTGAAACTGTGTGTACGTGTTTTCATCACCAGAATCTTATCTGCCATCTGCTGAATCTGTTGAGTCTTGCTTTGGATTTCATCCTTTATCTTTGTCTCCCGTCGCTCAACTATCTCCAGTCTTTTGACCTGGTTTTCCAGGGTCTTCCTTCCATCCTGTAAACAAAACAACGAGAACACACTGGTAGGTTTCAGTTAAGCAATGTCTCTTTTTCATGTCCATAAAAAATAATAAATCCTCCAGTCAGAAGACTCTTTCTGCTTCGTGGACATCAAAGAGTTTTTCTAAGACTAATTGGAAAGAGAGTCTCTTCTGAGGAAGAACTCATGGAACACTGCAGCAGCTGTTCTGGTTCTTGGCTTATTAACGCTGCACCTCTGCAATGTTTAAATCTCATTAATCAAAGTTCCTCAAATTTCCCAAATAAATCTAAAAAGATTGTTCCAGCGTGACAGTGAACGTTTGTAGACATTTGTCTCTTTGCACCCAGGTGACACAGTCTGTGTTTTGGCTCTTCTGTTAGACTACATTCACTCTCATTAACAGTTAACAAATGCACAAAGGAACAAATGAACAACAAGTGGCTTTGCCCTTGAAAAAAAAAACTGTGACAGTGTTGTCGTCACATCACAGCACAAGTGTTTCCACAGTGAGTGATGAAACAGCATGTTTAGCAGAGACATACAATATGAAATACTCTTGTGTTTAACAGTTTTATTTACCCAACACATTCAGCAAAGAGATTTTTGATTGTGTAAAGAGGCCACCTAACATAATGAGCAGAATAATGAGACACAAAGGACATGCAGTGCAGCACAGTAGAGAGAAGGCTGGCGTGTTTTTGTTTTGTGTGTTAGGACCTCTGTCTCCCGTAGGCGTCGGCGCAGGCTGTCAGTGGAATCTTCTTTGTTCTGGAGTCTCTCCAGGTCTCGCTCCATCCTCTCTTTGGCAACTCTCATGTTCTGCAGCAGTTCTGTGGCCTCATAGCTCGCCTTTGATGCCTTAATGTCAAAAAATTAGATGAGACTAGAAGATACAAAAAAAATTTAAACTAGTTTATAAAGTTGACTTGGGTATAAGCTTATTCACCTAGGTAGTTTGAATTGCATATTATAATTGCTTTGCCAAAAGTTAGCAAAATAATATTTTTGAATATTATTTCATAGGAAATTACAATTTTAAGATAATTCACATTAATACTTAATGTTGTAAAAGGTAATTGAATAACAACAAATAGACAATTAGCAAGTCAAGTTCTAAAAGACAGAAGATACTGTTGTGGAACTAAAATAAAGGTCACATAAGGTCAGGGATGGATAAGTAACAGTGCATAGACTCATGATGAAGAGTAAAACTGTTATATCTGCTGCCTTTTTAAGTGGTTATAAATTATTCATTAGCCTTTCAAGCAAAAGTTTCTACTTTGGCAAGCTTCTCTTGGAGTTCATTAATCTTTGACTGCTGCTCAGCATTGGTCTGAAAAAGACACAGAAAGGGAGAAAGTAAACACAATATTTTTTAAATTTAAAACTTACACATGCCACAGTGCACACACAAATGTGATTAAATTAAAAATGTTTTGGTGAATAAAACAAACCTGCACCCATTAATTTAATGCAGAATAAATGGTATTGAAGTTAAATCAAAGACATGCTGTTATGTGTACTTGAATTTCCTTTTTACTGAAACCTAAACAAAATATATAATATTTCTGGACTATAGTGAGTAATTAAATAAAAATAACATGTGTCTCAAATAAGTATTATGGCTTAGTTTTACCTGTACTGCTAAAACTATTTTTTTTTTAAAATGTAAATCAAAGTTAGAAAAAGAAATAGCAATAGCAAGAATAACAACCTAGTAGGTAAATGCTAACTAACAGGTCAACTGGGTTAAAGGTAAAATACAGAAAAGAAGGGCATTGGTTAACGATTTGTCCAAAAGGCTGTAAAACCTAGGAAAGTCATAGATAATTATAAAAATAAATGCCAAAAGAACATGAATGTAGTGTTAACAAGTAGCCAAGTTTGAAGGTAAACATCGTCTAAAAGGTATAGATATGCTTGTGCTAAGATGACTAACTGTCGACTGACATGCAGAAAATAGCAAATAGTTAGCCTAGCTTGCTAATAGCAACAAATTTGCCTACCTATCTTTGCATTAGCCAAGAACAGCTAATAAATATTAAGACTACAATGTCTTTTTTTCTCTCTGTACTGAACACTGTGTATATTCAAATATCAAGCTGATGTGTTTTCAAGTTCAATACGTAAGTAAGTAAGTAAGTACAAAGGTTAAAAGGTATTTGTAATATTCACCTTCTCCAGTTTGGTGATCGCCTCATCTGACTCTGCTTTTCCCTGTTCTCTGGCCTGTGGAGACATTAAAAAAATAAGCGAGGACACATGAATTTGGCCTCAAAAAAAAGAAAGAAACCTTTTCAAAAACATTAAATATTAACAAAAAAATAAAAAATAATAAAAATGTCTGTTGACCTTCTGCACCCTGTGCTGATAATCTGCAGATTTTCTTTTCAGTTCCTCGCTGGTCTGACGAGAATCTTTCAGCTCAGCCTCGTACAGGTCACTGCGACGTCGAGCGGCAGACAGGTCCTCCTCCAGTTGCCTGATGGTCACTCTCATCTCCTCCAGCTGAGCATGGTATTCCTGAAGAGGCAGAAGAGGGGAACTGGCACTAAACTCAAAATCAATACACTTGAATACATTTCCTCTGAGAGAAATTCAATTAAGTTTTGAAAGTCCAAACTTTTGTCAAGGGCAGACAAATTTAATAAAGTCAAAAAGTGCACCTCCAATTGTACTCAATAGCATCATTTGATTGCATACAAATGTACTGCATTTTAGCAAATATAATTAGTCCATTACATTTGTCCTTGTCTAATCTGGACCACCGTTACATGCAAGACATATCTAGGAGAATAGGACATAGATTTTGTCCCACAACATAAACACAAAACAGCATAGACAGGCGATACACCCTGTAATTCACAAGGCTTTTATAAAAAGTCAAACTTATGTAAACATTTAGGGGAAAAGTCTTTTTGCAATACTTTCTACCAGTTCTTCCTTATTTCTTTATATTTTGGATGGTTTAAACTTAGCCACACATGTTTTGTTCAAACGTTTGAGCCTTTATATTTTTCTAGGTTTGTCAAACAGTATCAGCTACATCACCTGACACCTGTTGTTTGGTCCTCATTCCATACCATTAACTTTTGTTTTTGTGTCAGACCATGTAAAATCTTTGTGAAGCTCAGTAACAATATGAAAGCTACTTGAAAATTTGAGGGTAGAGTTTCTTTAAAAATGCAAGAAAGAGCATTAATATGATGAGTAACAATGCTGATTATAGATTTGAGTTTTATTTTGATGCCAGTTCCAGGTGTAGTACAGCTGCTGGCCAGTAGGAGCATGACAGATATGTAAAATTACATGTTACTATAATGCAACAAGTCTTCCAGAGGTGATGGCCAATTAAATCATTACAATAAAATGTATCAGGAACAGAGCAGGAGCTGAGCACATGTAATAGAAATGACAAAATAATAAACGTGGCAGAAGTGTCCTTATATGTGAAAGCATTAGAAAACTGTGAGAGAACTGGTTCTATATCATCACCAATAATATGGTAATATAGTAGTGAATCAGCCAGACTAATTTTAGATGCACGTCTGTTTGACAGAATTCAGTCACAGCATATGAAATCAGATTTCAACATTCTCATCAATCTGCGAGGAACATCAGCCTGTCTGTCACAGTAATGAACCGTAACCTGAGAAAAATAAACTGAAGTGTTTTATCACAATGAAATGTGAAATGTGTGGTAATCTGCACCCCCGCCCTTCACCTTTATTACAGTAAAAAAGTTAGTCTTCTTCTTTTTCTTTCGGCTTTGTCCCTTTTTTCAGGGGTTGCCACAGCAGATCACTGATTTCCATCTCTCCCTGTTCTCTGTATCTTCTCCTCTGACTCCAACTATCTGCATGTCCTCCCTCACTGCATCCATATATCTCCTCTTTGGCCTTCCTCTTTGTCTCCTACCTGGTAGCTCCATCTCTAACATTCTTCTCCCAATGTATCCACTGTCCCTCCTCTGCACATGTCCAAACCATCTCAATCTGGCTTCTCTAGCTTTTTCTCCAAACCTTCCTGTCTGTGTTGTCCCTCTAACGACCTCATTCCTGATCCTGTCCATTCTTAATATCTGCAAAACATCACTTACGTAATTATGACTTGTCATGTCAAGAGAAAAAAAAATTCTTTGGCAAATCACTGCAGGCCAGAGAAAATATTGTGGAATCAGCTTTTTTGTTATCTACAGCATAACCTTTAGATGAATAACAATGTACAGGACAGCATTCGCAAGATGAACTCAGCAAAGACAGAGGAATAGTCAGGAAAATGAAGAAAGCAGCCATTCGTTTTTTAGGTACAGCCAGTAGTGAAGAATACAGAGGAACACAGAAATTGAGATGAAGCAGGTTAGGTAGATAGAGGATAGAAGATAACAGGGACTGACACACGGAGTGACCGAGATTTAAAGCATTAAAATGAGCAGAGCAGAGATAGCTAAAGTTGAGGTGTTGACTGTGTAGACTACAGAAGGAAACAGCCAGAAAAAGAATACAGGAAGGCAGAGAGGAAAACAAAGAGCAAAACACCTTGTCGAGATTAACAGCAGTGTCCAAAAGTGAAGAAATAAAGGTTTCAGTCTCCAATACACTAGATATTTTAGTGAGCTGCAAAGATGAGTGGGAGGAGCTTAAATATTTGAGAAAGGAATTAAAATCCTACTACTTGTTTACTTGTACTTGTGTAGTACAGGGAAGGATACAAGCAGCAAGAGTGGAAGAGACACTCAGTCTGGAGCCAGACAGAGTCTAATGAACCAATCACAGAAGGGCAGGAGTGGATACAGATGTTTCTAATAATTGCTGTCTAATCCAAGTAAGAAAAAGGATGAATATCAGAGTGTTACCGGTGGTCGACCCAGCACGAGACAGGCAGGACCCAAATGCAGCACAAGAGAGACTCTCTTCAGGTGCAGCAGGTTTATTAACTGAACATTGACTCCAAAAACACAGCGTGAGGGAGAGAGGTATATACATACCCCGGCCACCAGGTGACACCAGTGAGACTACTGAGCAGAGACACAGGTGAGTGTGATGACACTAACACCACCCAGCAGACAAGACAGGAAGAGGAAACAGACAAACCTAACACAGAGTTTGAGAATGACTGCCAATGTTACAGTCTCTTTCAGGGCTTTGCCCCATTCCCTGCGTTTTCTTTTACAGATTAAGATAAATTGTTGTTTTTAACACATTCAATCGATTAATGAGCACTCACCCTAGTGGAATTAATGAAGGCAGTTTTGTTTATATATCACATTTTTAATTAGGAGGAAATTCAATGTCCTCTCCAAAGAGCATGGAGGCCGACGAGGATCAATATGTGGAGACACTTTATACTGTGAAAGCTCAGGGTTCGACTCCAGACTCTGCTGACCTGTGTGCTTTAGTGTTAATATGGTAGATAAGTTAAGTTAAGGTTTGGAGGAATAACTAGAGAAGCCAGATTGAGATGGTTTGGACATGTGCAGAGGAGAGACAGTGGATACATTGGTAGAAGAATGTTAGAGATGGAGCTACCAGGTAGGAGACAAAGAGGAAGGCCAAAGAGGAGATATATGGATGCAGTGAGGGAGGACATGCAGATAGTTGGAGTCAGAGTAGAAGATACAGAGAACAGAGAGAGATGGAAATCAATGATTCGCTGTGGCAACCCCTGAAAAAGGGACAAAGCCGAAAGAAAAAGAAGATGGTAGATAAGTTAAGGTTAGCCAAAAATCAAGTGGAATAGATGGAGGTATAAGAAGCTTGGAAGGCTAGTAAAGGCAGGATCTTAAGTGAGCCACAAAGAACAGCAGCTTAGAAGCTAACAGAATAGTCCGGATGTAATCTTTTCTTTCTGCAATGCGGATAAGAATTTAAATTAGATAAATAAATAAACAACATTTTACTGAATGAATACATTTGATAATTACATTTATTTAACCAAGAACAGAAATAACTAAAATGTCTACAAAATTCCACTAAGAGTTAGCTAAGATAGCTTAAACTGATCCAAATGATTTTTAAGTTAAGTCAAAAATGTCTTACATTTCCTCTCAAGTTTGTTTCATGACCTGCACAAAAACATTTTTCATATTACAAAACATATATTAACATATTCTGACATAGAGGAGAGATCTGTACTGGTCTTATTTAAAGTGTCTGTGACTGTGTTGAAGCACTGTAGTTGTCCCTTATCACAGTTCTCTCTCCGCTTCACATGTTATCAGTTCTTAAAGGTCTCTCTACCACAGATTTCTTTTTCTGCGAACTCATCTGTCATCAATCTCTGCTGTTTGTTGATCCAACACTGCACGGTTTTTGCATGAAAATGATTAACCGCAGTCATATGGAGGTGCGTGGGAGACAGATGCGAAAAACTGATTTAACTGGCATAAACACCTCTGTTGAAAATCACCACAGGAATTGATAAAGGCTTTTTACCTTTATATGGTTTTTATCAAATACCACTGTAGTTAGTTTGTGAGAGTCCTTCATTCTGTCCAAAATGTACAAATCTATTTACACTAAGCAGTCCTGCCCTGAACCTCTTATATCATTTCTTCTTCTTCTTTTTCTTTCGACTTTGTCCCTTTTTTTTCTGGGGTTGCCACAGCAGATCATTGATTTCCATCTCTCCCTGTTCTCTGCATCTTCTACTCTGACTCCAACTATCTGCGTGTCCTCCCTCACTGCATCCATATATCTCCTCTTTGGCCTTCCTCTTTGTCTCCTCCCTGGTAGCTCCATCTCTAACATTCTTCTACCAATGTATCCACTGTCCCTCCTCTGCACATGTCCAAACCATCACAATCTGGCTTCTCTAGTTATTCCTCCAAACCTTCCTGTCTGTGTTGTCCCTCTAAGGACCTAATTCCTGATCCTGTCCATTCTTGTCACTCCTAGAGAGAATCTTAGCATCTTTAACTCTGCCACCTCCAGCTCCTCCTCTTGTCTTCTGCCTATTGCTACTGTCTTTAAACCATACATAATCTAAATATCTTGAAATGCACAGTGCAGCTGTGGTCCTTCAGGCTGCATACAGGGGGCACCAGGTCAGAATGGAGGTCACTCGCTGGCACCGGGCTGCTGCTGTCATTCAGTCCCAATTCAGGAAGCACAAGGAGGAAGTCAAATTCTGTGCCATGAGAGTGGCAGCCATCATCATCCAAAGACATTATCGTTCATGTGTGGCTCAGCGAAAAGAGAGAGAAGTGTTTCTGAGAAAAAGACAATCCACTATCGTCCTTCAGGCGGCACTCAGAGGGTGGCGGGTCAGAAGGGAAATAGGCCGACAGAACCGCAGCGCAGTCGTCATACAGTCGCACTGGAGAGGTGCAGTGCAGAGGGTGAGCCTCCAGAGGAAGAGAGCGGCAGCGCTGACACTTCAGCGCAGGTTCAAGGAGATGCAGTGGGGCAGGGCGGAGAGGAACAACTATACCCGTATGAGGAAAGCTGCCATCACACTTCAGATACATTTCAGGGCCTGGAGGACAAGACGACAGGTAGGTGTTAACTTAATCAATTTCATAT